CTCCGTTTAGAACGATAAATAATTCCTTTCGCGTATTTTTCAATTGCGATCACAAAATTCGACCGTACCTGATGACATCTAATATGAGACTGTCACCTGGTCTCGAGTGAATGACTAATAGGTTGAATCATGCTGATAACCGATTAATCTCCGAACAAATGAGTTATCTATGACTAATGACGATAATGAAATTATACAGGGAGAACAGATATATAGTATACAAGCTATAAGATGAAGAATTGAACACGGGTATACTGGTACTATTATTTTCGAAAGTCTAACGATTTGAAAAAATTAAACAGGCTAAAAATATAATTTTCACGAAAATCTCTAGTGATTTGAACGAATTTTACAGTCAGAAGTCGTAATAAAATGCACAAGGAGGCATACAGGGTGTTTCAGATTTAAATGTACATTTTGGCTTAGACTGCCAGGCTTTTCTACGAAGTTATTAGAAAGAAGGTTGTGCTGAGTTACTACGAATACTACGTCTAACAGAGAATTTTGCGAAGAATTCAGTGGCGTACTTTATTTCTTTAGGGGTTATGATTTTGGAGATACGACATGTATTTAATTATTATTTAGTTGAATCCGAGGTTGAATCCGTCATTTGTTTCCATTCAAAATGACGCATAAAACTTTATACATAGGATTTCCAGAAATCCTAAAAAACACTAAAACATCAGATTTTTGCTAGGGGGCCATGGAGTTTCCAAGTTTTACTTTAACGATTATTATGTCTGATTTACTATACAAGGTATGTCACGACGAGCTTACACTAACTGTATATCGAGAATCATTCGTATTGGACTATGGTTATTGAAACACTATTCAAATTCTAACAATTTATATTCACGATGTGTGCTCTACAAAAGATAAACGATTAATAATCTATATTCTCCAACGACTGTCCTCTTATTCATCATGTAACGTAACCATCTGAGTCATGTCTTACTAATAGAATCAGAAGGTATCGATGTATAGGGTGGTGCGGTGTAATATCCAGTTTCTAACATTCGGGAGAAATTCATGTAAATATGCATGCACATATTCTAGAATACGCTCTCTTCATTTAAAATATTTTCAGCAATGCATGGTTGCCGCTTCTATCAAAATGCAGCAACAACTTTGTTATTCCAAATAGAATATCCTGTATTTTTATTCTCCCTGAAGAGCTGATTTCATCGATGCATCACACTTGTGGTCTATCGGAAATGATTACAGAGATATAGGGTGTTCAAAATCGAGATTTTCCAACTTGAAGTTTTGTTTGTGTCGAAACGATTTATTATCGGCCAAAATGGCTCACATGTTCCTATCTCAACTTTTAATTTACTATTTACTGGAACAGATACAGGATGATCATAATTCTGAATCTTGAACCACCCTGTATCTGTTCCGATTAAATATCAGTAAAAACTGAATCAAAAGTTGAGATAGGGACATGTGAGCCGATTTGACCGATAATGAATAGTTCTAGTAGAAGCGGCAACACTGCATTGTCGAAAATATTTTACATGAAGAGAGCGTATTCTGAAATATCAGCATGCACATTTTCATGGATTTCTTCCGACTGATTCTCGATATAAAGATAGTGTAAGCTCGTCGTGACATACCCTGGATATAGGGTGTTAACAAATAAGTGTTACAACGAAAAACTGTAGATTCCTCATAATAAAAGAAACATTTCTTTCCTCTTCGAAATTTTTCTCCAGGCTTCCGTTTTCAAGATACAGGGCGTGAAAAAAATAAAAAATGTTCAGTTTAATTGAACACACTTTACAACACTTGATAAACTTTACAATTTGAAAACCAGCATCGAGACCACCATACGCAAGAACCTGACATTTGATTGAACATATTCTTAGACGATTCTGCGGTGTTTATTTCCAGTGGATTTTCAGACGATTTTTGGAGATACCATCAGGATTTTGTATGTTTTTATTCATAAAGAGCCATTTTTCGCAGAAACTATTCACTTTAGAGCATTGAGACAAGAGGACGTTCTCAAGTGGCATAAATGTTTGGAGGGTTAAACCCTCACGAGGCGTTGAATTCTCCTCCACTGACATGTCCAAGGAAATTGATCAAGAGCCCTCAAAGTAGTCATTATTGATGATGAAGTTTGTACGAAGGCTTAACTCCGTTGCTCAAACGGTTCCTAAGATAGTAGCAAAAAACAGATTTTTTTGTATTATTTTGACGCCCTGTATCTTGAAAACGGAAGCCCGGAGAAAAATTTTTCATGAGGAATTTACAGTTTTCCGTTGTGACACTTATTTTTTAAGTTTCCTCTATCTACAGGTTTAGTATGTACATTCAAATCTGAAACACCCTGTATAGGAAAAAAGTATTTTTCCATGAAAAAATTTCGAATCGTCTTATTTTCTTCTGGTTTGCTCGTTTCGAATCATTATCTTGACAGTATTCAACGAACAGACGTTTCTTATTTTGTAAACATATAAGGTAAATAAGTTGAATATAAACAGGGAAATATGAGGAAAAACAGAATCTCTATTCACTCACCAACGTGAAAAATGCGAAGCTTTGATGAAACAACACGAAACACCAGAACAGCACACGATCGCGATAATGTAATCACTGAATTGAATTGAGGAATACAAAAACACAATACTTGCACTGATTTTCAAGTGAACACTCCGTTTGGAATGATAAATAATTCCTTTCGCGTATTTTTCAATTGCAATCACAAAATTCGACTGTACGTGATGACATCTAATATAAGACTGTCTTGATTCACCACCTGGTCTCGAATGAATGACTAATAGGTTGAATCATGCTACAAACCGAAAAAATGATGTATCTATGACCATGATGAAAATTCCACCTTTGATCTACCAGTATACTTTTCCCCTCAGTGCTCTTGTATACTGTTTTTCCCTGAATTATTTCACAAGATAATTTCATAAAAATTAACAATTATGAATGAATTTGAAATCCAGGACTTTCATTCATGTAGAAACAAATTAACAATAAGGAAAAGTTGGTATCTACCTGCTAGGCAAGAGGTAGGTCATACTTGTACCTATTTCAAAAGGAATCGATGAAGATTATAAAGTGAAACTTTAAAATTGCATCAATAAAAAATTAGGTAGTTGTGGAATTGAAATATGAAGTTTGAAAACCTACAAAAAAATTACATTACAAAAACAAAAAAAAAAACTAGAACTGTTACTTATGAATAAAATACAGTTTAATAAAAACATAAAAGCAGCAAAATTATAAATAAATATTTCCAAGATTACAATTTGAAATGTCATGGATATGTTCAAGTACCTAAATAATCAGTGATATATCCTTAAAAATTTGGATTCAACTTCAAGGAATGAATTAAAACTGTATAACATGCTACCAATTGAATCTGAGTTTTGGTTTTAATTTGTGTAGCTATTTGCACTCAATTGCAAGATACTCTGGATGGAAACTCTCCCCCTGCTGAAAAATTGAAGAAGTAATGTTAGTACCTACTATAAACAAACCATATCTATGAACTATTACACAATCTGAATATTCAAATAGAAATAGATTGTGTCACTTTAATGTATGTTCAAAGATTCAATTCAAACTATGAAGTAATTAATGCTACCTACAATAACTGCTGAATAATTTGTTCATACCAGGCTTATTATATATCTATATAATATGCTTCTGGTCTTGCTCATATGAATGCAATAGGGAGCTGTATTCTAACTTAATTGTTTTCGAAGTACATGCAATCTGCATTGGCTATTTAACTACAGAGATGATGCTACAAAATAAAAATCTATAAAGGCCATGAACAAGATTTCAATATGATTTAGAGAAGGCAAGCGCATTACAAATAAAACCATAAATTACCCACCTGCACATGTTCATATTGTCATATTCTTTCTTGTCCAGCCTTGGCATTGAATTTGCTTCTTTATTTTCATTATAAGAATATTTGAAAGAAAAACAACCATACTTATTTTCCAAGTCCTAGTTTCTGGAGACGTTTCCCCATAAACAGAATATGAACTGTTGATCATTTCAATCATGTTCTCTCTCAGATAGACGCTACAAATAAGAGTTACTGTTACATTATGGACGCATCCGCATTTGTTCGCAGGAAAACTCAAAATTCCTCCCCTCCGTGTCTCGAGAAAAAGGAACAACATCCTTTATAGCCTAAATCAGTACAGCAATGGTCACAGTGGGCTGATGCCATTCTATTAGTGGACCAGAGTTAAACTCCCTGACCAACAGCCTCCATAATTATCCATATTGTAAATAAACCCATTTCGAAATTTATCTAGACAAGCAGTATCTAACTCGGTTATTCATTAGGTCCATGACAAATACGTGAATAAATTTGAAATCATTATGACATTCAGCACATACAGGTTGTTTATCAAATCGTTACATATGGAGGAGTATCAAGAAAGGATGGCATTTAGCAACATTGCCAGCTAAGAAGAATAACGGCTGTTCCACTGTAGGTGGCGGAGACAGAGACGGAGACTAGCGGAGAAGGAGACGGAGACTATAGCGAAGACTTGCAATACCGCAAGTCTCTTGCGATGTTGCTATCCAAATGTTCTATATGTAACGATTCGATAAACCACCTGCATAGGTTTTTATAAGAAATTAGCATTATTTGCAGGTAAATCAGAATGATCCCCACATCTCACAATATCGGTTATAGCTTGAGAATGTATAAGTTAGACTTCGACAAACCTCAACCATCTTCCACTATTTTTGTGACAATGTTCTTCATTTTCAAAATAAGCATGATTATTATCTTAGGCTTAGGCAAATAGCTGCAAATAGTTGCTATCATAGACTTTTTTTATACATTTTCAGCTGAAAAAATCGTTTGAAATCGGTTTTGAAATGTTAGTGTTGGTCGCACTGTATAAGTGGAACACTATACTTCTATTTACTATACATGCACACATAAGTTCTTTAGAGTTTCGAGATGTTGTTTTTTGAGTTGAAAAAAGGTTGAAATCATCTTTCAGCGATCAGTTAAAAGGTTCAAGCCAAACAGGTCCTTCTTACCTCTGCGGCCCCAGGATCCATCATCATCTGCATCAACATCTGCAACTGCATCAACATCTGCAACTGCATCAACATCACAAGATATCACAGAAAACCCATGTGGGAAACCTCCATTCGATATTTTTGCCAAATTATTAGAATTGTATCAAGAGGAAAATGAAGAGGAAGAGGAGTCGGAAGATGCTCCGGTTAGTACAATAATTCTGCACCCTTGTCAAATTCAAATCCAGATTAATTTCCATAGTTTGATATCAATGAAAATCGTGTCAAACTAAATCAGAAGAACCGTAAAAAATTATAGTGTATAACCGTTACCCCCGAGTATCGGAGGTAACGGTATAACTCGCACGGAATGCTTATTTTCCTATGGCTCATGCTGCAAACTTCATTCTCATGGCAAATCATTATCATTCCGTGCTGGTTAAACAATATACTATAGTAGCACCAAAATAAAAATAGTAAATTGTTTTATTAGGATCAAAAGTGACACTTTGCTTGACAAGCGAATTTTGCATTTGCGAGGCGGAGCGTTCAGCGAGGCCGAGCGAAAGCTGTTAGGTTCCATGTTGATATACACTTGGTAGATGCATGTCATGGAATGTCATGTTACGAATTGATTAGATTGTCATTAAAGAATAATTTACAATTACTTGAATTCAATACAACTACGTATGTATTAGTGGCGACGAGTATACTCTGAACTCACAAATTCCTACAATTTCAAGAAAAAGTGTTAATTCGAAATGCCGAATGGTAATACAAGCCAAACGGCAGATGCTAGCCAAACGAGTGGACCTGCCGAAAATGTGAATGTTACAGCATTGTTACAGATTTTGCAGTCACTTCAGGCTTCCGTACAAACAACAACTACTCCAACTATAAGTGTTCAAATAGAACAATTCAATGAAGAGATTGAAAATTTCACTACATATATGCAAAGACTCGAAAACTACTTTGACTTGAAGAATATCACCGATTCTTTGAAGAAGAAACAAGTTCTCATCAATTGTGTGGGTGCTAAAACATATCAGTTGTTAGCAAGTCTCACAACTCCAGATTTGCCAAATACAAAGTCGTATGAAGAATTAGTGAAATTATTACAAGAACAGTTAAGTCCAGTTCCGAACGTTATTACTGAGCAGCATAAATTTTTATTACGAATGCAACACGAAGGAGAAAACATCGCTAATTACATAGCTGAATTGAAAAGACTATCAACAAATTGCGAATTTTTCTGTGAACATTGTAAAAAATCAACATTGAACACGCATTTACGTTCTCAATTCATTAGAGGTCTACAAGACTCGAATATTCGCGAAAAACTTTTGCAAGAAAAACGATTATCATTCGAAAAAGCTTTGGAAATTGCTCTGGCAGTAGAGGCATCCAGAAATGAGAGCAATATTTTGCATAAAGTTGGGCAAGTGAGGAAATCTAAATACCATGGTGAGGTTTCTCGCAATTTTCCTCAAGAAAAGGTTGCATCAAACATTTTTTGTTATCGATGTGGAAAATCCTCCCATAAAGCAAATCAATGTTCCGTGAGAAATTTACGCTGTAAAATTTGCAATATTGTCGGCCATCTGGAAAATGTGTGCATGAAGAAGAAGAAGAATACCAAAGAGAAGATGTATATGCATGCTGTGGAAATAAATGATGAAAATGATGTGGAAAATGGTTCTGATGATGATAATTATGAAGACTCATCGGATGATGAACCACACGAAATAAATGCAGTAACACTGTTCACTGAACCGTCATCCAGTAAATATTTTTGCTTTGTCAAAATCAATGATATTATCTTTAAGATGGAATATGATACAGGATCAGCTGTTAGTATAATGAACCTGAAGACATTTTTGGAGAAAATTCCGAATGGTGAGATAGTGCCATCTAAAACTCAGCTCCTGACATATACAAAAGAAGCATTTTGTGTCGTTGGGACAGCTGAAGTTAAGATTGAATTCGAAAATAAATTGATATATGATAAGTTACACATCGTGGATGGAGATTTCGATACAATAATCGGCCGGAATTGGATGAAAGCATTAGGTTTGCTTCCTGAAGTCAAGAATATCAACGAAATATCTGAAATTGATGAATTGAAACAATATGTACTTACTCGATATCAAGATATTTTCCAGGAGAAATTGGGGAAAATTCCGTCTACAAAAGGAACTTTAAAATTATTACCTGATTCCAAGCCTATTTATATTAAACCCAGACAAGTACCTTACGCACTCCGAGAAAGAGTTGATCAAGAAATCAAGAGATTAGAACAGTTGGGTGTATTCAAAAAAATTGAATACTCTGAATGGGGAACACCGTTGGTTCCACTTGTTAAAAAAGATGGGTCCATACGTTTATGCGCGGACTATAAAGTGACTTTGAATAAATGTATTCGAGATGATAATCCAAACATCATTCCTCGCATTGAAGATTTGTTCTTGAAGTTACGCGGCGGAAAATACTTTTGTGTCCTTGATGTTTATAAAGCATATTTGCATTTACCAATGGACGATGAGAGCAGCAAAATGCAAACTGTGTCAACTTTGAGAGGGTGTTATAGGGTAGAACGCTTGATGTTTGGAGTTAAAACAGCTCCAAATATCTGGCAGAAATTCATGGATTCTATTTTACTTGATTTAGAGGGCACTGCATGTTTCTTTGATGATATCATCGTCCAAGGAGCAACGTTAGAACAAACATTCCACCGATTGAGGATACTCTTAGACAGATTACGATATCATGACCTACATATCAATCCAAAGAAAGCAAGATTTTTCGAGAAATCCGTGAAGTATTTAGGTCACACAATCGATGAAGATGGTCTCCATAAAACCAGTGATAAAATCAAGGATATTTTGAAACTCAAAAGACCGAAAGATGTTCACGAGCTGAGACAGTTTTTGGGAATGGTAAATTTTTATAATAATTTTATACCGGATTTAGCATCAAAATTAAATCCATTGAATAGATTATTACAAAAAGAAGAACAATTTATATGGTCGAGACAATGCGAAATAGCGTTCAACAAGGTCAAACAAGATTTGATAGGAGAACAAGTTTTGGTACATTATGATCTGAATCTTCCGTTAGTTTTGGCAACTGATGCATCTCCAGTGGGAATATCAGCAATATTATCTCACAGATTCAGAAATGGAGAGAGGCCAATTGCTTTTGCATCACGATCTTTAACAAAAGCAGAGCAAAAGTACAGCCAACTAGACAAGGAGGCAACAGCAATATTTTGGGCGTTACATAAATTCTTTCAGTATTGCTATGGTCGAGAATTCATATTAGTAACAGATAATAAACCATTGACAGCGATATTCAGTCCAGACAAACATTTGCCATCCATGGTATCGAGTCGATTATTGAGATACGCACAGTTTCTTTCGGGATTCAATTATACTACCGAGTACCGAAATACGAAAATGAATTCGAATGTTGATTATTTCTCAAGATTTCCGCTCTGCACAGGAAGAGTGGAAGAAAATTATGATGATGAAGGAGAGGTATTACAACTTCATGAAGATAGCTTACCGGTCACGGCAAAAATGATAGCAGAAGAAACCCAGCAGGACACAGAATTGAAGAATTTGTATTTAGCGATTCAAACTGGAAAGTTTGCTAATACGGACTATAAAGGCCAAGAAAGTGAATTTTCAATTGAAAATGGTTGCATTTTACGCGGATTTCGAGTAATGATTCCCAAAATACTACGTGGAGATATACTCAAGGAATTACATTCGGCACATATTGGAATTGTCAAGATGAAGACTCTGGCAAGGAATTATTGCTATTGGAGAAATATCGATCGCGATATAGAAAATTTAGCGAAGAGTTGTGTTGCGTGCTGCAAAGTTCAAAAAGAATGTAGCAAGGCTCCTGTACATTCATGGCCAGAACCTATAACTACGTGGCAAAGAGTACATTTGGACTTCGCTGGACCATTTATGGATCACCATTTTTTAATTTTAGTGGATGCCAAATCTAGATGGTTAGAAGTTGTTCCAATGAAATCAATAACAAGTAAATGTACAGTTGATAACCTCAGAGATATTTTCTGTCGATATGGACTACCATCCGAGATGGTGACAGACAACGGACCATCATTGACATCTTATGAGTTCGAAAAATTCTTGAAATCCAATGGTATTCAACATCTACTTACAGCACCGGGGCACCCAGCAACCAATGGTCTTGCCGAACGGTATGTACAGACAGTAAAAAATGGCTTGAGATCTGCATTGTTAGATAATGGAAATCTCAATGTGAAACTCAACAGACTGCTTATGCAGTACCGGAAAACACCCAATTCAACTACAAATAAAAGCCCAGCGGAATATTTCTTGAACTTCACTTATCGTTCACGATTGGATCTAATCAAAGGACATGAATCAATTAATAATGGAATGAGGACCGAAAGTACATTGAGAACCAGGGAGTTCAATGTAGGTGATACCGTTCAATCTAGAAATTATTCTGATAAATCTGAAAAGTGGAAATTTGGAAAGATTCATGAAAGACTTGGAAAATTACATTATTTAGTGCAAACTGAGGATGGAAAATATATAAGACGACACATAGATCAATTGAGAGCAACGAAAGTAATGGAATTACATGGTTTGCCACCCTCATCTGATAAACGCATCATCACGAAACCCAATCCACAGTTGTTGTTAAGGAGTCGTACTCCATCACCGTGTATGATTTCACATTCACAAACTGCTCCCAATCAAAATCTGGTCCCATCAATATTAAATTCTCGTAGAGACTCGATGTCACCAAATCGTTCGCCCGGTGAAGATAAGCAGGCAGACTTAGAAGAAAGTACTTCTGAATCCAGATCGGCTATGGCTCGGAAGTCACCTGTTAGAAGATCAACTAGAATACTAACCGTTCCGAAACGCTTGAATTTGTAATTTATTTTTTTAGGGGGGAAATGTTAGGTTCCATGTTGATATACACTTGGTAGATGCATGTCATGGAATGTCATGTTACGAATTGATTAGATTGTCATTAAAGAATAATTTACAATTACTTGAATTCAATACAACTACGTATGTATTAAAAGCAAAATTTGCGAGTCGAACAAAGTCATTTTTGATCCGAATGAAACATGCTATTTTTTCTGCAACCGAAACAATTAACTCAAATAAACATGTGAAGTAACCACCAATGCCGTGCCATATGTATGCAATGCAACAAATATTGACAAATAATCCATGTGGTGAGAATATTCTAGCTGCATTAACAGCAGGTAAGGTTTTCGAGGATGTTCGAATTGTAGTTTCAATATAAAAACAACCACAGAGTGACATATTTGTGTATAGGAACAAGACGTGAAATCGTGGAAAATGTTAGGTTAGTGAACATATCAACAATGATAATAGTGATCATTTATTCCTCTCCATACTACACTGTGTTTGACTTGATAATCAAATGAAGCTAAACAATATCGTTGTTTGAGACAAAAAACTATTGCTTGCCGAGATTATTCAAAAACAAGTTATCAAACCCGAGAATAACGAATGAAATACAGATCAAGCAAGTATTTGAATCTTGAAGGCTTCCCTGATCAAAACAAAAATACTTAACTGAGATGTTTATAATTCCAATACTAAACTATAATAGGGTGTATTTATATCTCCAGCATGGGTATGAAATGCCAAATCTGCTGAAATCGGAAACAAATCAGGTATGCGTCCCAACCCAAATAACCAACCGTCACAATGTTGTTTATTCTTGATGACGTCCAGTACATCCTTTTTAGATCCTAGGAGCTAAAGTTCAACTTTAGCTCTAGGAACTAAAATTCAAATTTATCTACTAGGAACTAGATATGTTGCCTAGCAACATACCTATTTTTGTGTCAGTAATAGAAACGTCAATTTAAGAGCTAATTTTGGTATCAAAATGGACGACTTTTGTGTTGGTTGCAGAAAAAATCTTTTTTCCCTAACCACCATAATGTTTATCAACAGTTGCTTATACATATATTATATATATTATCATTATTATAGAAGAATATTCCACCTCCTCCAAATGGATGGTTCATGTTTGGACTTGGTTTCTGGAATAAGAATAGACGGAAAAAGTCCCAGCCATTGTTCTGCAAAGCTTTCAATTTTCCAATATTGTTATTTATCTCACCTCTGAAAGTTGAATTTTTAAAACTGACAATAAACTTGTCACTGCCATTTCGAAATTGGAGTTGAATGATTTGAATGTGGTTCAAAGTCAACGTCGTCAATAAAAAACACGTCGAACTTTAGTCAGACTTCAATTTCGTCAGTCATTGACCGTCATTGAATCGCCCCTTTTTATCTCCGCTTCCTGAATATTCCACAATCTATTATTTCAATCATTTTCAGAATCTGAAGTACACGACTCTTCTGCTGGAGAAACTCGTGGCGCAAGAAAGACTGAACACATTGATCGTAAATCTCTATCCTGGCAACAAAGGCTATTCCTTGGCTTTCAGACTGTTGTCCAGCAACTCGGACGGTGACACTGCCAATATGATAGAAACCGAACAGTGGCCTTACGAGGAGGACAACCTCCTTCGATATATCGATAATGAAGAACTTCCACCTACCATTATAGACTTGATAGAAAATGAATTTAGTTACCTCTTTTACAATGGATGCATCATAGCGGAAGTCAGGGACTATCGTCAAGCTTATCCCCATTTCAAGTGTGATATTCATCATGTTTTGCTCAGGCCTACGCAGAGGGTGAGTCATATTTTCAATCATTGTATTCAGTAATGTTCCTATGTTTAGTTAATTTATTTATGTAATTCTCCTAATCCCATACTGTTGTGTTGATTTAACGGTATTCAGATGAAAATTGAAAAGTTAACAGTCTCCGTCCGTTAAGATTGTTTAACTGCTGGCGGCCGTTTTGATATTATTGTTTGTGATATTGTTAGGATGTTGGGATTGTAAAATGAAGCATATGGTTTTTTCTTTCCTCGAAATCAAAATGCAATTTTTCAGCGGGATCACGAAAAGTCTTGCACAACACATGGCCGATATGCAAATAAAGGATTCGGTTGTTATATTCAACCTCATCCCTTATTGAATTCATTAATAGCGAACCCATATGACTCCATCATTGGCAAACAATCAGTATTCCACAACGGAATCATTTTATATAATTCATTACCTTATGATTTGAAACATATTGATGATGAAACAAGATTCAAAGTCAATATGAAAAAATATATACTCATGACACTATAAACGGAGCAATTCATTCTCATTTGAATACTTGGAATGCTTTTATTTTAATTATTATGTTATATTGACAAAACTTGTTAATTATTTTTTTTATTGTTATATATCTATATATATCATATGTTTATGTATCCATATTATAAACAAATATGTTTCTTGGGGTAATAAAGAACAACAACAACAATATTGGCCTTGTAACGTTAATAACTACCCTGTATCCATAAAGTCCCCCTCCCCCTGGTTTACTTTTGAACGGTAAGGATTTTGTTTTTCATTTTTGTTTGCTTTAATGGTAGTTTCAGTCCTACATTTTGATTAAAAAAATAGATATTTGTTTAACTAGGCAGCAAAGTAGTAGATTGACTGCCGTGGCTGAATTCATAGCCGAGCGTAGCGAGGCTAGGAATCCAGCTAAGGCAGTCAATCTACTTTGCTGCCGAGTTGAACATATGATTTTTTCTCCGATTGTTCATAATGATATGGGAGAATATTGTATTTGCGAATTAATACAATTCCCACAATCTCTTTATTCTTCCTGTATAGTGTTCAATTAAAATAAAATTTGATAGAAATCGCAGTTGTTGGTTTGACAATTCATGAAATTTCTGACAGTTGTGCGAAAAAATATCGGTATATTTAAATTATTATATAATGGACAGTGATAGCAACCTGGAAGTATACTTACACCTCCATTAATAAGGGAGGAAATATAGAGTTGAATTTGTTGCCGGAGAAGTCTCGGATGAAATATGAAGAAAATTATAAACGATTCATGGATTTTTAATTTTGCTGATACATATCAATCAGCAAAGTAACCACTTTGCTGCCTAGGCAGCAAAGTACTCACTTTGCTGCCTAGGCAGGAAAAGTAATACTTTGCTGATTGATATGAGTCAGCAAAATTAATATTTGCTGCCAATCGGAGGAAAAAGTATCTTTCTGCGCCTGGACGCCATTTAGGAAGATTTTTTTAAAAGGAGGGGGGGTTGAAAGATACCTCAATTGAAAGGTTTTTCGATTCTTTATAAAACCTTATAATTTCAGCCAAAAATATTCTTTCAAAACAAAAAGGCGGATGATAATGTTTGAAATCTCACAACAGGATCCTTTTGACTAGATGGCTATTAAAGTGCTCTCATGTGATCTTCAACTCTATTCACATGGAATATATTCTTTTTTAATCAAAATGTAGCACTGAAACTACCATTGCAGCAACAAAAAAAATCCCACCCGTTCAAAAGTAAACCAGGGGGGGGGGGTGACTTCATGGACACAGTGTATATTGTATTGTTCTAGGGAACATGTAAATGAGTGTAAGTATAAGCTATTAAGTATAAGTATAAGTACTCAATCAAAACCAAATATCAATATCAATTTTCGAATTTGACGTGAACTGTAAGAATGACATTTCATTTTCAAATTTTGTACATGACTACCGGCCAGTCTAATTCGCGAGATTCACGAAGTGGGCGACATCTAGGTTACATAATACGAACTTCAAACTGTGGGAAAACAAACTGTTGTCTATGGATTAAGTGCATAGACTACATTGCATTCAGCTTGCTGTAGCTGTAGTCAAACTTGTCAATGGCATAAAGTGTTGGCACTGTTGGTAGTGATGATGGTTGAGTTGGTTAATTTTTTTACATTATTACATTTTCATTATTATAGTGAACAGTGAACGGGTAAAGAATTGGAGATAGTTCAAACAATTCAAACTAATTGTGACGAGCAAATCAATTGACATATATAAGAACAGCTACAACATGTTTACAATGCCCAGATTGTCCTGCTTTGCATGAAAAAATACAAATCCATTGTTCTACAGGACCCCAAATTCAATTTTACTTCATTTGGGGAAGATTTCATCGCCGAAGTTTGAAGACAAAGTGCAAAAATGTGCCTTTTTTTTTAAGTCTTCTGCCTCACACAAAATCACATGATTAGCACGGAGAACTGCTTCTCCTTCCACTACTGGTCGGCTTTTTCCATCTAAATAGAGCAAAATATCTGCCAAAACAACATCTACAACAGGCAGCATTAGCGTTTTCGATCGAATATTGACAATTAATGTCAAGAAATTTGAAAACTTATCACTCTTATCAGTACACAGTAAATAAGCTAATGGCACTAATGGGATTGAGTACATTGAGTAAGGATTGAGTTTGTTTTCCCCCAGTTTTGACGTGGCTTTGACATGGAATGATGAAAACCGAGTGCCACCTGGTAACATGGATTCCCGCGAATACTAAAGCAGTTCAGACAAATTCCTATTCATTGTTATTTTTCACGTTCGAATAATTATTATAATACCTCTGGTCCTCTGATTACATCCTACAACATTATAATACCTTTACAGCTCGAAGCAGCTCATAAAATGCGTATGGGGGAAACAGTTCGTTTCTAACATGTGCTTAGACAAATATATTTGAATTAGACCAAGAGTCGTTACGATTTACTTGGGCCGCACTGTACAGGGTGATTGACTATGGATTTCTCGACTTCAACAGCTAATATCTCAAAAACGAAAAAAGATATTTGAAATTAGGAGATAGGTACTTGAATGAGATGTCATTTCCTTCTAGAAAATGTGTTCTCTGCTTGATTTTATCATTTCATATACAGGGTTCCTGAAAAAATTGTTTTTTTCTAATGGAACCCCCTGTATATTATCGCATATTTCGAAAGAGCTATCTTTCCTGATTTCAAAGATATATACTTTTCATATATTCTATCGAGGGCTTGACGAAATATCAGCAAAATTAAATATTAATATTTGGTCCAAGTTAGCTATGGTTGAAATAGAATGAGATGATGAATAAGTGAATTGACATTTGGCCAACATTCCAGTGACATAAGTGCGCAAAATTTCGACAATTTTCTCACGATGCCATATCCACTGGAACAAAGAAGAGATATTTTGGAGTGCTATTTTTCAGTTAATGAAAATCTTGCTGAAACACTTACAACTTATACTTACTTATATTTAATCTTTCAGATATGACAGGATTGAATTTTAATCCGCTTCTCATTATCATCATAATTGAGTTTGTGGCATGGTCTAATTCTGAAATCCCTATATTTATATTTCCTTAAGGTATGTTGAACAAAATAATAGCTGAAACCAAACTCTCTCACTGCATTTCTTCTTGACCGTGAAGGATCCTCAACAAAATACTGGAGTACAAGAAGTTCCTCGTCTTCGTTGTCTTGCCTTCTCACTATTCTCTTGATATTCGACAAACTGGAAGTTCTGTCATATTTAGCAGCCAAATACTTTACATAATTCTTACTTGGTAATCTCCTGCCTGGATAACTCCTCATAAACTTATGAAGTGTTTCAGCAAGATTTTTATTAACTGAAAAATAGCACTCCAAAATATCTCTTCTTTATTCCAGTGGATATGGCATCGTGGAAAAATTGTCGAAATTTTGCGCACTTATGTCACTGAAATGTTGACCAAATGTCAATTCACTTATTCATCATCTCATTCTATTTCAAGCATAGCTAACTTGGACCAAATATTAATATTTAATTTTGCTGATATTTCGTCAAGCACTCGATAGAATATATGAAAAGTATATATTTTCAAAATCAGGAAAGATAGCTCTTTCGAAATATGCGATAATATACAGGGGGTTCCATTTGAAAAAAAAATTGTTTTCACATACCCTGTATATGAAATGATAAAATCAAGCAGAGAACACATTTTCCAGAAGGAAATGACATCTCATTCGAGTAACTTTTTTCAAATTTCAAATATCTTTTTTCGTTTTCGAGATATCAGCTCTTGAAGTCGAGAAATCCATAGTCAATCACCCTGTACATTCGATAAGGGACTATCCCTCCTTTCCAGAGTATCATGGCGGACATCAACACCCTCGCCGACGACAAACCCGAGTGGGGCGGCGATGAGAAGGACCAGCTCGAGAGCCGGCTGCTGATGGCCAACGCGCCGACGCTCTGCCTCGACCCCGACGCGTCGACGTCGCGACGGCTGACGGCGCTGCACAACCGGAAGGCGATGTGGAACACGCACAGGTACCGGCGCATGGCGCGGAAGTTCTCGCAGGTGACTGTGAACCGGAAGCGGAAACTGGACCAGTTCACGCACAGGCCCGGATTGGAGCTGTACGAGTTCTTGTGTCGGAACCAGAATAAACCAAAGATAGGTGAGGAATTCGCCATTTCTAACAAAGTGAGGGTTGCTGGGCTGTGTGCACGTGAATATACACCAAAGAAGAGAAGATTTGTATTTCGTGCAAGATTATTTATTCAAAATATTCGTAGCAGAGCGCTTTCGACTGTTGAGTCATCATCAGTGCGTACTCGTCAGGTTAACAGGGAAATTCGTCCATAAAAATATCTTTGGTCCAGTTTAAAACTAACGACATTTAGGTAAAATACGTTACAAACAAATTAAAATGTGTTTCCCAAAAGGGGGTAAAATATGGATTACATTTTGTTAAGCAGCCATTGTCGCTGCGCCATGTCGTGTTGAAGTGAACTTGATGACAACAACACGACATGTCGCAGCGACAATGGCTGCTTAATAAAATGTAATCCATATTTTACCCCCTTTTGGGAAACACATTTTGATTTGTTTGTAACGTATTGTTCCTGTTGTATGTCGTTAGTTTTAAACTGGACCAAAGATATTTTTATGGACGAATTTCCCTGTTAACCTGACGAGTACGCAGTGATGATGACTCAACAGTCGAAAGCGCTCTGCTACGAATATTTTGAATAAATTATCTTGCACGAAATACAATTCTTCCCTTCTTTGGTATTTCTAACAAATTCAATAGATATTTATTGTATATCAAGGGAGTAAAGGTATTAATTTCCTACCGCGTGTGAAGTTTGATGCACGACGCAATTGAGTTTTTATTGCCAATTAGGAATATTACCAATACTCAATTGAGAATTTATAAATTATTGAACTACTATTTCTGAAGTTCCCAATCGTATTTCAACACATGGCAACTGTGCTACTTACGAAATCGTAGCGTCAGTTTTTACTGGCAGTAAATTTCTAGCTATTTGAAAATTACCGTGGCATTATTGATGATTTTAGTACTTTAAAATAGACCGAAAAATTATAAAAAAATATGGAATTGAAAGGTATTTGAGTGATGATTCTATTTGAGGAATAAAAAAAATGTCCACTCACCTATTGCACGAACTATAGTTAATTTGTTTTATCTTTACAAATATTTTAAAGAAGAAAGGTTTGTTTGTTTGTATGTATTGAATAGGCTCCGAAACTACTGGATAGATTTGGCTGAAAATTGGTGGGGAGGTAGCTTAGAACCAGGAGAAGGTTATAGGATACTTTTTATCCCGGTACCATTAGGAAATTGAAGATGGCGGATCTAATATATCGGACGAGTTTTGTAATTATGGTCCGATTCTATTCAAAATTGGTATCTGGGGATTTTCGGGGTCGGAAATGATGATTCTTTCGTCAGAATTCGAAAATTCAGTCGGAATTTGGGAATTCAAGATGGCGGAACCAATATGGCGGACGAGTTTTGTAATTATAATCCGATTCTTTTCAAAATTGGTACCTAGGGGTTTTCGTGATCGGGGATTATGATTCCTTCGTCAAAATTAAGAAATTCAAGATGGCGGATCCAGAATGGCGGATTTTGTAATTAGGATCCGATTTCATCCAAATTTGGTGTCTGGGTCGGAGATTATGATTGTTTTGTCAAAATTTGAAAAAGGCAGGATTTGGTAACTCAAGACGGTGGAACCAATATACCGGAGGAGTTTTATTATATACCGACTCTATTCAAAATTTGTAAGTGGGCGTTTTCGGGATCAAAAATTATGCCTCCTTCGTCAAAATTAGAGAATTCAAGATGGTAGATCCAATATTGTGGACGAGTGCTGTAATTATATTCCGATTCTATTCAAAATTTTCATCTGGGGTTCAAGGAGTCGGATATTATGATTCTTTCGTCAAAATTGGGAATTCGAGTGAACTAAACAGAAGTTGAAATAAATGGTTGTTTGAAAAACTAAAGAAACACGTCTTTATAAATAGCAGAACCAAAAAGAAGTAGAAAATAAAATAACAATAGTGTCTTGATGAATATTGAACCGAAAAAATATATTATAGAAATAATGTATATAGCAAAACAACGTTTTGCGAGGTCTGCTAGTATAAAATAAAGTGAAATGCCACTAATTTTGCATAAATTATTTGGAACACGGTTTGGACAAACATCTGACAATGATCTCAAGTGACATTTTTTCATTCTCTTTATGATTGTTTTTGATACATCAATCATGGCCTTCGAAATCAGTGAACATCTGAGGTGGACATGGATACACAGTGATCTAAACCTACACCATCTGACTAACTGACACTATCCCATCTACCTACAGGTGCTTCGGCGATCTCGCTCTCCAAACCGCCGAAGAAACCGCCCGTCGCCGACGAAGCTGCCCCCACCCCCGTGCCAGTCCCGAACCTAGACCCGCCCCTCATCCTTCCCCCCACCTCCCCCGTCCACATCGCCGAGTTCAAGGCCTACCAGCGGCCCAAAGAGACCGGCGACTGTCTGCCGCAGCTCATCGAGGAGTACGTGCTGGAGACCGATATGCCTGCGCGCGAGAAGAGCGAGCTGCCGCGCGTGTACCACATCAAGCTGTCGATCCTGCAGCGGCCGTCCAACTCGGAGTACCTGGGCGAGCTGTACTTGGACAGGGACCACAGGAAGGGGGAGGAGAACGGGGTGGCGTGCCGGTTCTCGCTGGGGTCGAGGGCGAACGCCAACAGGTGATGGTTTTAATGATTTTTTTCTGTGAGTTTGGCATTACATCTTTGTTGGCAGGTTATAAAATGTCACTTTTCATAAATTACTTTTTTCCCGTGGGAAAAAAGTGAGTACTTTTTTCCCCGGATATACAGGTTGTCCGGAGATAAAACCGACAAAACTCATGGGGTTATAGGGACTGTCAATATGATTGCAAAATGCCATAAACGAATGTCCAAAACGGCTTCGTTACTGAGATACAGAGTGATTTGTGGATTTTGACAAAAAATTCAATCCGCCATATAAAATACAGGGATTAGCCGATTGGATTCAAATTTGGTACACGAATTACACTGAAAAGCGTCAACAAGTAGCCCTTTGATCGAAACCAATATCAGGACCGGAATAATATTTTTCCCCTATGTTGAGTTATTGTTAGGATAACTCACCCTGTATCATAATAACCAAAAATTTCAACTCAGATTCGCAATCTACGGTGAAAATTGTATAGGAATTTGTTGAAAAATCTCCTGGCACCATCTTAGTTATTCCGTAATTAATTATTATTTTGATTTTTTTTCATCGAAAAATCAATCATTGTCGGATAAAGTACGTATATTTACGAAACCATGACATGAATGTCGTTATTATCTTCGATCAGTTCATGAATCGGAGTAAAATGAAATATTCTCATAACCCGAAATAACTGAAGAATAAATTCGTATCAGGACTGGAATGAGTGTTTTGTTTGGTCATGTTAGCTGACCTAGTAGATCAATAGTTATCAATAATCTGATCGTAGATTCGGAATCTGCAAAAATCGTATAAGAACCTGTCAAAGAAGGATTACAGTGAAGTTTTCGTAAATTATATTCGCTCACTAATGAATTTGAATTTATGAGAATACTACACAACGAACAATAACTGTTTGTAATGAACATAACAAAAGCAACGAATTCGTGAAAAACTTTCACTACCCAGTATTACAAAACATTTTCGAAGTAGAGCCCTCCAACATCAATACATTTTTGAGAGCGTGCTATTAGATGATTCACTGACTTGCGAATTATTTGAGGGTTATTTCTAACACTAACACATGCAGCAGTAATTTCACATAAAAAATTTCTTCATTATGAACTTCTTACTTTAAATGACCTCATAAAAAATAATCTAGCTGATGACAGCTGAACAATGGTTTTCCATAATGAAATTCTGAATTTGACACAAGCCTAGTATTCTTTATACACAAATATTATAAGGTACTGATACGGAATTATTATTTGAAAGTTCAATCCGATCATTTTTTTTGAAACTTTTCTCAGTGCATTTCGAATCTGCGATCAGATCATTGTTATACTAGATCATCTATTCTTACAGGAATATAATCATAGAAAACCGCATTCCAGTCCAGATACGAATTTATTTTTCCGTTTTTTCGGGTAATGAGAGTATTTTATTTTACTACGATTTACGGACTGATTGAAGAAAATAACGATATTCATGTCATGGTTTCGTTAATATTTATTATATTACCAATTTTGATAGTACTTTATCCGACAATAATTGAATTTTGAAAGAAAAAAATTAAAATAATAATTAATTACGGAATAACTAAGATAGTGCCAAGAGATTTTTCAACAAATTCCTATACAATTTTAACCGTAGATGTCGAATCTGAGTTGAAATTTTTTGTTATTATTATACAGGGTGAGTTATTCCCACAAGAACTCAACATAGGGAAAAAATATCATTCCGGTCCTGATATTGGTTTCGATCAAAGGGCTACTTGTTGATGCTTTTCAGTGTAATTCGTGTACCAAATTTGAATCTAATCGGTTAATCCCTGTATTTGATATGGCAGATTGAATTTTTTGTCAAAATCCACAAATCCTCTGTATGTCAATAACGAAGTGGTTTTGGGCATTGGTTTATGTCATTTTGCAATCATATTGACAGTCCCTATAACCCCACAAGTCGTGTCGGTTTTATCTCTGGACACCCTGTATATCTCATATACACCGTGTCCCAGCTAAAATGTCCCCCCCTGTAAAAAATCAACCGCGTGATCAAATGACTCGCAATTTGGTCACCCAGTATATTTGATGATGCTCACTCGAAATATGCAATCGAATAAATCGTAGGTATACAGGGTAACACCGAAGTGCACCTTAACTTCCCTATTTGAATAGGGACACCCAGTATATTATTCCATATTCAAGTAGAGTTCATTGCTACAAATTCACAATGCCGGGTTTAATGGGATTTTTTCAAACGTCTATGAAGATATGACAATAAATAAAACGATTCAATAAAAAAATTATATGATTAGATTTTATTAATATATCACGATTGAAATTGAATGAAAAAAAAAATAAAACCTCAACTGCTCAATATGTCGTCCATTCTGCTGTAAACATTTCCTAGCTCTTTTGATAACGTTCATTGTGACCCTATTATTATGTAACTTTCGGAGATTCAAAGCACAAATAAACCTCTCGAAAGTTTATCTTTATTCAGATTATACAAAAAATACGACTGACAAATCTTGTCAGATCAATAATTCAACTTTTTCATACATAGTGAAACAAAACACAAAAACAAAATATCAATTGGGATTCAACATTCTCCGGCGCGTGAAGACATCTCTTCACCATTAATCATTGCCCAGATGTAGGTAGAACGCAAAGTTTCGTGACAGGTCTTGTATAAACACCTCGATTTGTTCTGATCTCGACGACTCGAATGATATTATCCTTTCCAGGATACACTTGCTCTATTCTTCCAATCTGCCACACATTTCTTGGCACTTTCTCATCAACGATCAAGACAATATCGCCGATTTTAACCCCCTCACTTTTAGCATGCCATTTCGAGCGCTGAATCAATGTAGGTCTGTATTCCAGTATCCATCGCTTCCAAAACGAATCTGCTAAAGATTGAGCAATTCGCCACTGTTTCTTTGAAACTCTGTCATCAGCTATTGAACAAGATGATACTCCCCCAGGACGTAACAATAGGAAATGATTGGGTGTTATAGCTTCTCGTTCCACTGGATCAACCGAAATGTGAGTGAGTGGTCTTGAATTCATCATGTATTCAATTTCAATTAATAGTGTATGCAAAACTTCTTCTCTGGGATTGATCGACTTTAAAGATATCTTGAGGGCGGTCTTCACAGTCCGTATCATCCGCTCCCATATTCCTCCCATATGTGATGCTCGAGCTGGATTGAATTTCCACTTAATCTGTTTGAGACTCAAGAAGTTGACTATTTCTTCCTGGTCAAGAGATTCGATCCATTCTCTGAGCTCTCTTTCAGCTCCTACAAAATTGGTACCATTATCGGAAATAAATTCCTTTGGTTGGCCTCGCCTACACATGAATCGTCTTATAGCTGATATAGTTGAACTGGTATCCAGAGTTGCTGATAGTTCGATATGAACTGCTCGTATCGACAAACACGTGAATAGGACACCATATCTCTTCTCAACTCTTCTTCCGATGGATATGTTTATGGGCCCAAAAAAATCTACACCGACGTAGGTGAAGGGATAGACGTAAGTTTCCAAACGTTCTCTTGGCACATTACCCATCTGAGGATATGTAGGCTTGCACTTCCGAATTTTACATAACTGACAAAGTCGAAAACATTTCTTGACAGCTTGTCGAACTTTGACAATCCAAAATTTTGTTCTCAAATTATTGATAACTGTTTCTAGGCCAACATGTCCTGCTGTTTCATGATGATACTTGATTAGAAGTTCTGTAAATTTGTGTTTATAGTCCAGGACAATTGGATTTCGAGAATCATTTTCGATTCCGACATCATCTGGTATTCTTCCACATACTCGCAGGATAGAATCTTCGTCAAGAAATACTGAGAGTTTGAAAAGGCGACTAGACTTTGGTACATCTTTTTTGAGTTTCAACAGTTTCACCTCTTCGTTGAAACATTCTTGCTGACTTTGGCGAATCCACAGTTTCGTTGCTTCAGAAATCGTTTCCGAATCCAACAACAAACTCTTTGGCCTCTCTGCCTTCTTCAATCGCAATATTCTGGAGAAATATATCACCCACGATGTAGATCTAACCAGTCTGGCCCAGCTAGAAAATCTCAGAATATCTGGAAGACTTTGTTTCATATCAGAAGTAGCAGTAGTTACTAATACATTCTCCCTGCACTGAGTGATTGATTCTTCTGGCCAATTTTCTTCGATAGACCGTAAGAATTCTGGTCCCTTTAGCCAAACACTGTCCGAGGTGAATTTCATAACTTTCCTCACCTTAGTTGCAAGATCTGCCACATTTAGGGCTGAAGGAACCCAACGCCACTGCTTCACTGTTGAAAACTCATGAATTTCTTCCAAACGACATGCAACAAAGATCGGGAAACGTTTTGATTCGGATCTTATTTGACTAATTACCACCATAGAGTCAGTCCAGTAGTGAGTCTCTTGTATCTTGCACTCGAGCTCATAGAAGATCGATTTTGCGAGCCTTATTCCAAGTACAGCAGCTTGAAGTTCCAACTTAGGGATGGTTTGTTGTTTCAAAGGGGCAACTTTGAATTTACAACTAACCAAGGAAGCATGTATATCTTCATCATCTTTGAAACACAGGTAAGCAACTGCAGCGTATGCTTTATCACTCGCATCGCAGAAAATATGCAGATCCACATTGTGTACACGAGCATCAGATGAATGAAAATAGTACCTAGGGAAACTGACTGGTATCAGATTGTGCAACTCATCTATCCATAGTTTCCATGCCTCGAAATGTTCTTCAGTAATTTCTGCATCCCAGCTCACTTGGCATCTCCAAATATCTTGAACGAGGATTCTTGCTTTCACCATAACAGGAGCTAGAAACCCTAACGGGTCGAAGACAGACATGGTAACTCGCAAGACTTCTCTCTTTGTAGGTACCTTTCGACATTCCCAAACTTCAGGATCTATTTTCTGCAAGTTGAAGGTGAAAACGAAACAATCTGTGGTTTGAGACCAGGAAAGACCTAGAACTCGACCATACTTCTCGGTGTCGATCTTCAAATTACCTGGATCGACTGCTCTTAGATTTGGAGGTATGGAAGAAACAACTTTTTCTGAATTACTTGTCCACTTCGTCATCTCAAACCCAGCTTGTAGGTGGGCTGTTATCACGTTCTTCACTTGCTTCACTGCTTCCTCCTCGGTGTGAAAAGAATCAAGATAATCATCCACATAGTGTTGCTTCTTCATGATTCTTTCGATGCCTGGGTATTGACTTTCCAAAGCTTCACCATTTGTGTTTTTGACAAATTGAGCAACAGCAGGCGAGGATACCGCTCCAAATATCATGACATTCATGTGATAAACATTTGGAGGATGTTCACGATCCATTCCGCGCCAGAAGAAGCGTTGCGCACATCTATCTTCTTCTCTAATGAATACCTGGTGGAACATCTCCTTTATGTCACCATTTATTGCCACTCTGCCTTGTCGAAAACGCCATAGTAGGTACTCCGATCAGTGAAGGAACCAAATTTGGGCCTTGAAGGAGGAAATCATTGAGACTGAAGCTGTGACTTTTGGCAGCTGCATCGAAAACAAGTCGTAATTTACTAGGCTTGTTTATATTCCATACAGCGAAGTGGGGTAAATACCAAGTCTTTGGAGTTTCCTCAACCTCATCAGCATGCAACCTCTTCGCATAACCTTTTTCAAGATACTCTGATATCTTATTGCAATACTGCTCAGCAAATTGTTGATCCCTGTCCATCTTCCTTTCCATGCAGTAGAGACGTTTCAGAGCAGTGTGTCGACTATCAGGTAAAGTTTCTTGATCATTCCTCCATAGGTGTCCAATTGAATAGTGATTTCCAACCTTCTGCATGGTGTTCGTCATTATATCAAGAGCTCTCTTGTCTTCTAATGACTTGACAACAGTGTCTTTTTGTTTGATGCCGAAATCTTCTAAATGGAAGCTATCTTTGACCAAACGGTGGAGTTCATCGTCCTGCATGGAATGGTTACAGCAGAGGTTAACATGTTCAACATTAGTCACACCACCATCATTAAGTGGGCCATGAATCGTCCATCCTAGCTTCGACTTCGACATTATGGGTTGATTCAATCGAGACTGAATTATTTGCCTGGGTATAATTAATCCACAGTTGTCCTGGCCTATTAATAATTTGGGCTTGACAACTCTGACAGATTCAAGAATCTGAGAATCCAGATAAGGAAACTTCCTCATGACATCTTCAACATCGATTTTTTGCAGTGGAAGATCCAGATTTCTAACGGTACGAACTTCTTTCATCTTATAGAATACAGGGTGTGAGGAATCAGCTGCAATTTCGAAGGAAACAGTCTTGGAATCGTCTTCATAGTGGTTTATGCCATTGGTCCACTGGAAACACAACGGGAAGGTAGGTCCATTCAATTGAAGTTCATTCGCTAGTTCAGTTTCAATCATTGTGCAAGTAGAGCCTTCATCGAAAAGAGCAAAAACTTTAAACTCTCCAGATGGGCCTCGTACCTTCACTGGCGCGATTCTGAGCAATACAGATTGTCCTGTACACATATCGTTCTGGTTAGCACAAAATTGGTCTGGTTTTTCATGTGGCAAAGATGTAGATGGTTGAGCTAATTCAGTTGCAGGTTTCTCCAGGTGTAAAAGTTTATTGTGTCTACCCCTGCAACCATTCTCATTGCATCTAATTTTCTGGTTGAAGCATCTTGTAGATATATGACCAACCTTTAGGCAAATAAAACAGAGTTTTCGTTCCAAAACAGCAGCTCTTCTTTCAGTAGTTGATTTTTCAAGAAAATCTCCGCATTCAGTTATAATATGATTAGAGCTGTTGCAATATGCACATTCGGTCACAGGCTGTTCGTTCTTCGTAGACTTCTTCTTAGTGATCAACACATTTTCTTTCTTGGAGCAGGGTTTCTGGAACGGATTCGAAATTGAAGCGACAGAGTTAACTTCCTCCTCAAACCACTCAACGAAATCTTCAAGTGAAGTATAGTATCGATGTTCTTCCTTCTCGAGTCGATACTTGACTTTCGCCCAGTTGTACTTCTGAATTTGCGGCAACTTTTCTACCAACGATGACAGTAGCTCTGGATTGACCAAATAATTATTGCAACCAACGGTTTTCATTGTTGTTACCATATTCGATACGGCATTCAAGAAGGACATGCTACTTTCCAGTTTGTCTTCTTTAATTGGGCTAAGCTTCTTTACCTTGTCCATAAGCGAGAAGATAATCCATTCAGGACGACCAAAATTCATTTCGAGGTTCTTGACTATCCTAGGAACATTAGCTGCAGAAGTAAGTAAGGCTTTAACAGTTTCCCTTGCCCTACCCTTCAAGGCTCTGTCCAATCGAAGTAAGTTTTCGTCGTCACTGAGTTTGTATGATTTAGTTGTACGTTCATATTCACTGATGAATATTGGCCATTCACATAATTCTCCGGAAAATGTAGTAAGATCTCGAAGTTTGTGACGAAATAGCAATGCATTGGTAGCAGCCGAATTTTCCACACACTGCTTAGCTATATCTGCAAAACTATCGTTTGCTTTGCAGTTGCTGTTCCTCACAGAATTGGAATTTTCCTTCGCCGAAAGAGAGTTTGGTTGATATTCATTCTCCAACTGTATAATGGATTCTGCAGCAGCACACTTTCTTGCATTGTCAATCCACATACCAAGACGATTATCACCATTGTACAGCCTCTCTCCATCAGAACATTCGGAGATTTTATCCTGTACGGATTCTGTGTCTATGATTTTCCTCTTGATTTCCATCTTTTTCCTCAAGTTCTCACGCTTTTTCTCAATTGTTCTCAATCTCTCTTCAGCTTCTTCTTGATCCAATTTTTCCTGCTCCTCTATTATTGCTAATTCTAGATTCAATTTCGACGCTTTCGAAATCCTAGAAATGACAGACTTTTCTTGGATCTGCTGACTTCTGTCATCAGAATTTTTGTATCCACTGCGAGAATGGGTTTGTGATTTAGATTTCACCTGAAGCGCATCTTCAGAGGCCACCATCACAGAAAAGGCACCGTGTGCTGAAGTGGAAATCGCGGGCGCATCAGAAACGGTCTCAGGCACCCTAGTTCTACTAGTTGAAACCGCATTCGTAATTTCACTTGCAGCATATCTTCGAGGTGGTACTCCTTTTGTGCACCTCATACTCCTACGCAACATTGTAGCTTCATCCATATCAGTGTTTGCAGTACTTCTGATATCCGGCTCGAAGGACCATATTATTATGTAACTTTCGGAGATTCAAAGCACAAATAAACCTCTCGAAAGTTTATCTTTATTCAGATTATACAAAAAATACGACTGACAAATCTTGTCAGATCAATAATTCAACTTTTTCATACATAGTGAAACAAAACACAAAAACAAAATATCAATTGGGATTCAACAGACCCTATGTATCACGTTGCGATCAATTTGTGCGCATAAATTTTTGATTTTCTCTTTCATTTATTTCATATTCACAATAGGCGACACATAAACCTGTTGTTCCAAGTAGCCCCACGAATAAAAATCAAGTGGGATGAGGTCTGGCGGTCGAGCTGGCCAGTTGCTATCACCATCGAGACAATTGGTGGTTATCAGATTTTCTCCAAACCGATGGCGAAGATAATCCTTTACGGGTATGTAGTTATGTGCAGGACACCCATCATTCGATTTCAATCGTGTTATATTGATAAAATCTAATCATATAAATTTTTCATTGCCATATCTTTGTAGTCGTTCGTAAAAATCCCATCAAACCCGGCATTGTTGAATTTGTAATGATGACCTCTACTATGGAATGATATACTGGGTGTCCCTATTCAAATAAGAAAGTTGAGATGCACTTCGGTGTGACCCTGTATACCTAGGATTTATTCAATAGCCAGTATTGCCCGCAGGTACATTCACCAGTTCACGGAGATTTTCACGGAGAGCGGCAGGAAATCGGTGCGCATCCAGTACGGCCTGAGCCCCAGCTACAAGGAGCGCGTCGCGATAGCGCAGGCGCAACACCAGCAGCAGCAGCAGCAGCAGGCGCAGAACGGCGCGTCGGCGAGCCTGCCGCAGCAGCACCTGCAGCAGCTAAGCCAGAGCCTGCAGGGTACGGCGCAGGGCGGTCGTGGGCAGCCGGGGGCGGTCAATGGGAGCGTGGGAGGGGCGGTGGTGCTGCAGGGGCAGGGCCTGCTGTCTTCTAGCGTTCCCATTTTGGTGAGTTTCTCATAGACCGGGAGCCCACAACGTGTTTCTGTGTTAAGGCTGTGCTCACGGTCCAACAATTTGATCAAACTATACCGGGTGTAACAGGATGATGGTACACCAAACCATTTTGACGAACTCAATTTGGTGATAAATCAAGAAATTTTACATTTTTGACAGGATTCAACTTCTTTTTAGCATTAAACATGTCGATATGAGTACAGCAGACTCAATCAGAATAGTCAAGGCACACTCAGATGAAAAATCAAAAATGAAATCAGAATCAATAATGAAGTTTGAAATTTTATTTACATGGTATCATTGGCTTCAGAAAATGATGCAGAATTCGAAAATGCATTGATATACAGGGGGTTCCATTTGAAAATCAAAAGTTATTACCTCTTCCGGTGAAACCGGAAGTGGAAATTGAAACATATTCATGTCAAAATGTGACGTTTATCAAGTCGATGGGTCATTCCGATTTTCAATCACTTATCTCTGAAACTAAAGGAGAAAAAGGGGGTGTACCATGATGCTGTTACACCCGGTATAGATTTGTGAAGCCATCAGTGACGTCACGTCAAACAGCAGCTAAAATTTAGAACTTGTTTTAAATATTTGTCATGTTGGATCAAACAATAAGGTTAGGATGTTTGTTTTCATGTTTTCTTCTCTGATTATTATCTCATATCTTAGGAATTAAGAAGGAATATACTATCATTAATGTTATCGATAGTTCAAAAATGCCTGTCCTGGTAATTGGACTCAGGACCATTTCGGATAATTACAGGAATGTTTTTGTCTTGCTCCAATCCCAAATTTATGCTTGGTTGACTAGATACTTTGTTATGATCTCACCTCATTTCTGCAGGTATACGGTCACGCGTATATGGATTGATAAAAATCTGAAATATCTCCCATCCATTATTAGGTAATTTTGAAATTTACTATGGTATATCTTCCAGTCTGACTTCATCAAAAATCATAGGTAGGACTCCTCTACCAATATTTCTTCTTTGAAGCCATTATCTTGTACATACCTTCCTCTTTTTTTTTTAATACTTACCATGTAATGAATTTTTATTCAATTTTTTCTTGTGATTTCTCCTATTTCAGGGAACCTACTAAACCAATATTTTTGTTCAAACATTTTCAAATCGTGTGACAGGGATGTCTTGCCATCTCAAACCATTTGAGTCAAACAGGCAAGAATGACGTCACTTCAAACAAATTTGATCAAATCGTTGGACCGTGAGACACGGCCTTTATGTATTCACACTCACATGGATAAGAACGCCCCAAATTCCACCTCCCAGTACACGGATATGAGCTCGCCGAATAAAAATCGTGGGCCAAAGGGTGGGGGCCGCGTGGATGAAGAACGAATTATGGAAAACTCCTTGAAAGTTTTATTTTTCTACAGAATAGTGCTCAATTTTACTCTAGAATATGATTAGATTTTTTTCGAATTCTTTTCTTTTGGGGGTGTGCCTGGTTGTACATTTAGACAACTATGCCATTATTGAACGATATTATCACTTATAATATCCCAAGGCTATTGATAATTTCGAAATAATTTGTCGCATACTTCCGAAAGCAAGTTGCTTTACCTAAAAGCAACTCGCTAATTATATCTATCGACTCATTTTCGATGTTTCCATATCTACTTGAACTGACTGACATTTTGAAAGTTTAATTGAGTGAACGTCAAACTATGTCATTATCAGTTGAATGTTTATCTGATTCGCCTTTATTGGTCACGTGGTCAAAAATACGTAGATATGATAGGTTCAAATTACATGGAAAAATGTTTCAACATAATTAATAATCTATGGTAGAAGTCCATATTTAAAATAAACTTACTAAGCTTTTTTAAATTCAATTCCAGAAGAGCCATTTACAAGGAAGTGTGCAAGTTAAATCTGCCCAAAATATTTCAACACAAGAATTAGCAATGAGTGCTCTGACTGAATTGGATAACTCTGCCCAACAATTTCAAGCAGCAGGTAAGAACTATTTTTATCATTAAGTGTTTATAGAAAACAAGCAATATCTAGCTGAGTAATAAAAATCTATGCTTCCAGGTTTGCCTTTGATATTGTTTCAACTACTTTAATCTCCAATCAATACAGTCTCGAGAGTTCCTATGGAGACATCTCTAAAATTCTTTTAAAGCAAAATTCATAGAGCCTGATTTTTTCGTATTCAATGTACATTGATTGTTTCATCGTAAGATGTAGAAAACTACTAAATATACACGATATTTCACGCTGCTCTTGAGGATTTTCCTATTTTTGGAGGAAAAAGACAATTTAAAGATGAAAATCCCTCACCAAATGATGCGGAAAAAATAATCGAACACCCCAGCAACATTCTATTTTTTACTGCAATTGTATGTTCAATATCATCAACGTTGAAAAACGGATAGCTGTCTTCTGAGAAAAACTATACATGGGAATACAAAAAGTATTTTTTCATGTCATTATTTGGAATTTGGAAGTACCAACCATAACTAGTTCACTGTCGCAAACCGTTTTTCAAACTCTAATGTAAATTAACTGAAAGAACATGGTATGTTATAAAATGTCTCATTCCAGCAAACGCTAAACAGCAACAACTGCAACAACAGCAACAACTGCAGCAGCAGCAGCAACAACAACAAAAAATAACCGGCAACAACGCCGCCTTGATAAACTTATTAAACACTTCGCCCGCCACCAACGTCAACAATGACGCCGTCATCAACGCCATAAACAATACACCTCTATTACCTCAGCAAGTGCAAACGTTCAACCAAAAAATCCTCGCGCGCAAAATGACGCTGCCGAACAACGCGCGCGTACTGAACCACAGCAACCTTTTGGCCTTGAACAACAACCGCATCAACCTGCAAGACTCGTCGCAGCCGCAGACCATCACGTTGGCGTCCGTCAACAACGCCGGCTACGCCAACTTCAAGCAGCAGTTGGGCAGCCAGCGGGCGGAGGGCGGCAAGTCCGCTCTGTCCGCCCTTCTGGTGGGCACGCCCGCCGCCGACAGGTACATTTGAATAGATTTATTTGTTACATCTGAAAAAATTTACAATGTCAACATCACAAATACTTTTGTTGAACTTTGAATGAACACGTAAGATAAATGAAAAGTAAAACTTCATCGAAACTATATTTCCCTGGTCACTTGATCCAAAATTAACCGTTTTACCTCATTCATGGCACTCTAGAAATCTCTAGAAATTGAAAATTTAGGAACGAGGAATGTCAAAAAGTGACATATGGAGTGTCATCAAACTCACAATGTGGTTATCTATTGGAATAAGTAAAAATATACCGGGTGTTCCATTTAAAATAGGGAAGTGAGGATCAACTCGTTACCATCGAGACAATAAGGCCTGCATGCTCCGTGGTGACGTCACCTTTGTGAGGCCTAACCAGCGGCTCCAAACGACAAGCGCTTATGGCGCTATGGGCGCTTTAAGGCGACCGCGTATTTCGATTTTAGTTTTAGATCATTATTGAGCCGATTTTGCTGTTTTTTTGAAGGGTTTCTGGATAAAAAAGGATGCCAGTCGTCAACTGAGCCCTTCTTCGCATCCCATTCGATTTTAATATGGAAAAACGAAGTTTCAAAGCGAAAACCAGAATAAAACACAAATACCCAACCACAGAAACCCATTCGAATTAAAAATATTGGCAAAAATTGTGGTGAAGGTAAACTTTACACCTACTTATACAGGGCCCGCAGAACATAAACTTATCGTGTTTTTCAGACAAAAACACGTGAGTACCATAAACAATTTTCGAAAAAAACCATCGCATGATAAATGCAGTTTTACCTTTTTAATACAACCAAGAAGAACATTGTTTAAAGTCAGGAAATATCAGATACTCACAATACAAGCCCATTGGGGCTTAGGTGATGATGATATGTCCTGGTCTTTTATTTTCATTGTATTTTGATTGTATCAAACAATATGAAATAAGTTCAGAAACTCCTGTATGATGAAGATATGAATAAATACTTACTTACTTACTTACTTACTTACTTAAGTAGAGTGTTTGTAGTACATGTTAATATGATAGTTGCAATTTGATCATTGGAATGAATTCTGTATTCATTGCCACGAGGCAACTGACCGTTTTCAGAAAGAAATTTGGGAATGTAAAGAGTTAAAAATGCCCGTTTATTATGAACCTTCAAGACAATTTCCTCGAATTCAGAGATGATTTTGTTGAATATAATATACGAATACAAAACTAACTGCACAATCAAAGCTTTTCTCTTTTTTCTCTACTCATACTTTTTATGACAGAGTAACTGTCTTCTATTATTAATGGGCGTGTACACCTTAGTAGAACTTTTAACTCAAACCATGTTTATAATGATCCTTTTATACATAAATAATGATTGACGACATAATTCGATCGAAAAATTAACTGGTATGTTTTATTTTTGGACATAAATGATAGTACCTTCTGAAAACGGAGACCCTCTTATGACGTAGAAACCCCATCTCGCCATATATATATATATAAACCATATATATCTACTACTGATATATGAATCATAGCTCTCCTCAAAGCGGGAAGATGAAATCGACCAATAGGCGTTGATACCGACGTAGGGAAAAAATAATAGGAAATTTGTCAAACCAATATGGCTGTTTCCATCCTTCACTTTTCGTTCTCATAGATTCAAAGAGTACCTCTCATTTTGGTCCCATTTTTGTTGAGATATCGTATAGGCGATGCGCCATATATAGAAATAGTAGATATATGGTTGAAACTGACACTCTCCTGACACTTATTACTGTTGCCATATCATCCAAACAAAATATCCGAGAAATCGAAATCGATATTGAAATATCTTTTGATATCCACTACCACTACTGCAGAAAAATATATTCGAGTTGTCGATTGTAGGTTGAATCATTGGAGTATAAACAATCTCTAGACAACGAAATGTCTCAATCTCAAAACCATTTGCACCATTACAATTTCACAATAATCCAATATATTTCATAAACATAGCAACATTGCTTTGTTGACCCGTTTCACATGGAGCTGCAAAAAGTCAATCTAGGTTAGAATTGATTTGTCAGAAATTATGTATCATTCATCTCTGTCTGGAATAGTCTTGTTTCAGTATTAGGGTTTTGACGTCACATCATCGCCTTGTTTTCAGAGGTCCGAAAAATCGGGGATTTCAATAATTTTTTATAAAACGTAGGGAGCTCACAGCAAGAAACGTTTTGCGGTGGTGAGCTAGTTTGGGTGAGTTCTATCGAATTATGAAATAAAATTTTTTTGTGATATAAGCCCATTCATCATTATAAATTAAGCTCTGTTTACTACTGTACTTACTACTGTACTTAGATATAGTAAAATCCTCGCGGTGAATTGCATATACCCACTTTTTCGATAGTTCCTTGTCCAACGGGAAACTAAAAGCATGAACTTTTGGAACACCCACATAATTCCCCGACAAAAGGGAACACAACACTTGATGTTATTTCGCGTATCACAACACAAAATATTTCACAAGAAAGTAATTTTTCCACAAATAATAGAAAAAAGTTATTTTTCCATCAATTATTTTGATGAATTAACAACAAAAGAATTCGGGACCGCTTTATAAAAAAACATACGTGAATCACCGAACATGGATTAACACGAACTGACGAGTTAGTCGACAAGCGGTAAAACACTGGCCTCTCTCAGGTGACGTCACGAGCTGTTTACGTCAGAGTCTGTTGGCCTTCTAATCTCGATGGTAACGGTCAATTCCGGAAATGTGGATTGACAGAAAACGATTGAATATGTCAAAAAACTGCATATGTATGTACTATACTTGAACACCGAATTTCATTTGTTTATCTGGAGAAACAACAAAGTTGTGGGTGAGCCACTATTGAGAAACACCCGGTATACGATGAGGTATTATCTAGTTATTCTAGTTGGAATCCCAAATACTCCACTGTTTTGATTATTTCATTGTCCACCACAGACCAGACATCGTCGGCCCGAATACCAGCTCGCTGCTGCTGGAGAAGCTGGGAGTCGCCCCGAGCGGTGCTCAGGCGCACTTTGGCACCAAGGGCGGGCCGTTTGGGCAGGCGGGGAAGGGCGGCTCGGTGCTGAGTCCGATGGCGAGTCCGCCGCCGCAGCAGCCGACCGGCAATACGATCAACGTGCAGAGTTTGAATTTCGCGCAGTTGCAGAGCATTCCGGGGTTGCAGAATCTGCAGGTAACTAACACTGCTAACACTGCTTATGGCACGGATCCGTGCCAGACTAAGTTCTCAGATAGTACGCATGGCAAGGGTCCGTGACGCATGTACAGTGTGTCCAGTTTTCGATGCTTTTGCCTGATATCTCAGTCATCTTTGGAGATAGAACCTTGCAGTTTTCGCGGTCCTGTGCCACTTTTTTGTGAAACTCAAGATGGCCTAATCAGATTTTGCAAGACAGTTTCCGTTTATGAGATACAGGGCGATTTTGAAAATTTATACTATTTGGACCCCCCTCCATATCCACGAAGTTTCTCAACAAACATGTCAAATACAAATTTTATCGCATAGAGAATTTCACGCATAATCCAGTGGCGCACTTAATTTTTTTTTTCGGGATATGGTTTTGGAGATACGACTCAAACTTATGACTTTTTAAATGGAACACCCTGTATTTCATAAGCTCATTAAATTCCTTCTTTCTTCAAAATGATATATAACGAATGAATATAAAATTTTCAAAATTGCTCAAAATCACTAAAATATTAAATTTTGATAGTTGGTTATGGATTTTTCTTATAAAAAACGTTACAATTGAAGAAATATTTCTTCAAATTTTTCCATGGAGAGGTCAAAACCAATATCAACACTTATTAATTAACAAAACACTAAACTTGGGTACCTGATAGTGACAAATAAATATTAATAAAAAGTTTATAATGTAGAATAAGCACCTGATTAAATATTAACTAGAACAATTGAATTCCGGAATTATTAAGTAACTTATTCATTGACATGTTCAAATTGATATCCATTTTTCCTAACATACAGTTGACAAACTTTCTTGATACTTCTTAATACAGTGAGTGGTCCAACATACTTGAAGAACTTTGTGCAACAACAGAGGCAGTTTTCCAGGAATTACAAAGACATCTTTCAATGATTAATATGTATTGAGAAAGTTTGTGATGGAAAATGGACATCAATCTGAACAATTCAATGAATAAATCACTGAATAATTTCGAAATTCAATTGTTTTAAAAAATATTCAATCAGGTGCTTATTCTACATTACAAACTTTTTATTACCATATATTTGTGGATATCAGGTATCTAAGTCTTGTGTATTAATTATTAAGTTAATTAGTGTTGAAATTTTTTTTCCCCCTTCATGGAACAATCAAACGAAATATTCCTTCAATTGTGAATTTCTTTATATGAAAATCCCTCGAAAAACCCATAGCCCACTATTAAAATTCAATGTTTTAGCGATTTTTGAACATTTTTGAAAATGTTATATTCATACATCATGTATCATTTCGAAGGGACAAAAATAAGAAATTCAATGAGCTTGTAAAATACAGGGTGTTCAATTTAAAAAATCATAAGTTTGAGTCGTATCTTCAAAACCACACCCCGAAAAAAAAAACTTGTGTGCGTCACTGGATTCTGCATAAAATTCTCTATGGGTTGATATTTCAATTTGACATTTTCGCTGATAAACTTCGTAGATATAGAGGGGGTCCAAAAAGTATAAATTTTCAAAATCGCCCTGTATCTCATATACGGAAACAGTCCTGCAAAATCAGATCAGGCCATCTTCAGTTTCTCGAAAAAGTAGTACAGGACCGCGAAAACCGCAAGGTTCTATCTCCAAAGATAACTGAGATATCATGCAAAAGCATCGAAAACTGGACACACTGTACACTTCTTCTATATTTTGTTTGAGCACATCGTTTAGGCACATTGTCGACCTAACCATGGGTACACCTCATTAGCATTATATGCTTCAGCAAATTGTCAATCCTGTCGCTTTCAGTTGGGTACCAGTGTCGGTTCGGTGTCTTCTTGTATTTCGTCGAATGAGACGATCTTGTAGAGCAGTCGTTACTCGGGGAGGAGCACGTCGACGATGATAACTGGGGCTGCCGGTCTCATTGTACCTTTGTAGAGCTCTCCTCAAAATGTTATGGGACACATTATACAACCTACCAACAGTTCTGAAACTGGTTCCTCCATTAATCAATCGAATAGCATTCAGATACTCGTTGCTTGTTAAAGGCATCATCTCATGATACTGTCAAGGTATATGTTGTCATAATGACAAAACTGAACATATCATGGCCCACAAGATATTTATTATTCATTGATGATCGCTCTGATGTACGTGTTCTTGTAATTACTATACACACTATTCACGGCATTCCATAAAGTAATATGGGTGACCTCCGTATATGATAACGAACGTAAAATATGAACATTTTCATCTTGTATTTCAATTAGAGGGGAGTTTTCGGAAACGTCTCGAGTTAATAGTCTAATATAAATAATGGATATCGAGAAGGCCGTGTCTGAATATAGTGAATCGAATGGGCCATGGTTTTAGTCACCGTTTTTGATTTTCTTATCACCCTGTATATTCCACAATGGTGCTTTTTTCGACTTTCATTGTCACCCACAACACATGAGATCAGTTCTTCCCAATATTCAGCTCAAGTGGAGTTCTAGAGAGAAAAATCAAGAAATGCAAGATTTGCGATAAAAATCTAACTCTTGTTCCAATGGCCAATTAAGGAGAAATCACGAAAACGTCCCGAAATGAGGTTCCAGTGTATCATAATATGACTGGCTTTTGATCAGAAAAAAATTCCTCTAGTTCTGGCAGCATTGGAAATGTAGACCATAATGTAATGGTGCCACTTTACACCCTGTGTAAGTTTTGTTTCTGCGGACTTTTTCAGAAAGTTCTAGCTCTATTTGAAGCCGATGAAATATCACATCTGATATCGAAAACCGCATGAAGACGTTACCATCGAGACTATAAGGCCTGCATGCTCCGTGGTGACGTCACCTTAGTGAGGCCTAACCAGCGGCTCGCAACGACCGGGTATTTCAATTTCAGTTTCAGATCATTATTGAGCCGATTTGGCTGTTCTTATGAAGGGTTTCCGGATAAAAAAGGATGCCAGTCGTCAACTGAGCCCTTCTTCGCATCCCATTCGATTTTATTATGGAAAAACGAAGTTACAAAGCAAAAACCAGAATAAAACACAAATACCCACCTACAGCAACCCATTCGAATTAAATATATTGACAAAAATTGTAGTGATTTAATCTCATTAGAGGTAAACGTCACACCTACTTAAACAGGGCCCACAGAACATAAACTTACCGTGAGATTGATCAAAAGAAAATTGTGGAAAATGTATTTTATTTGGATAGACATGCCGTTTGTTATAATTACCTATATTTATCTTGGAGAATACATATTATCTAAAAAATTAGCCAGTGAGTGTTTTCAATTTCCTGTTGTTGGATTTTTTACCCAATTGATAGTTAGACTTGAAACAGTAATTTTTAAGTAGAGTGTTCATAGTTCATGTTGATATGATAGTTGCAAATTGATCATTGGAATGAATTCTGTATTCATTGCCACGTTTTCAGAAAGGAATTTGGGAATGTATTGAGTTAAAAATGCCCGTTTTCTATGAACATTCAAGAATATTTCCTCGAATTGAGAGAAGATTTCGTTCAATATAATATACGAATACAAAACTAACTGCACAATCAAAGCTTTTCTCTTTTTCCTCTACTCATACTTTTTATGAGAGAGTATTTGTCTGCTATTATTAATTCATCATTATAAATTAAGCTCTGTTTACCACTGTACTTTGATGGAGTAAAATCCTCGCGGTGAATTGCATATACCCACTTTTTCGATAGTTCCTTGTCCAACGGGAAACTAAAAGCATGAACTTTTGGAACACAAACATAATTCCCCCGACAAAAGGGAACACAACACTTGGAAGGTATTGATATTTCGCCTATCACAACACAAAATATTTCACAAAACAGTAATTTTTCCGCCAATTATTTTGATGAATAAACAACAAATAATCCGGGTGCGATGTTTTCCAAACATACCTGATCGAAGTGACTACGCTACGAATCGACACGCCATAGAATAAAATGTGTGTGGCCTTTCTCAGTTGACGTCACGAGCTGATAACGTCACAGACCTCTGGCCTAGTGCCTTGTGTTCACGTGGGTAACGATGAAGAACGGTAAATTTTTTTAAAAAATACAGGTCTTCGAAAAAGAGTCAAATTATGAGTGGTCCATTTAGTGTGTGGAGAACTGTATTTCAAGATATATTTTTTGTAGAAATGACTGGAAATGCCCATTGAACTGAAATCCGTTGCAGGTGCAGCTGCCCGGGTACGCGCAGCCCATCTCGCTGTCGTTGAACGTGTCGTCGGCGGGCGGCGCAGTGCCGGGCCACCCGGCCGGGCTGATCGTATCGCTGCCCGGGGCAACCGGCGCCGCCCACACCGCGAACAGCGTCGTGCCCACGGCGGGCGGCAAGCCGCAGACGGTCGTGCTGACGAACGCGGGGGCGACCAGTTTGAGTGAGTATATCGCAGTATAGTGTGTCTAGTTTCAATAATAATAATTCAATCTTTATTTCAATCTTTGCAATAAACATTACATTGCATCTCATATAAATATAAATATAATCATTAACATTTACAATGGAATAACATGAATAATCAGACAGATTCATATCTGGTATGAGATTATTCATGCGTTATCAAATTAAATTATAGTTATTGAAATAAACAACAGAATATGAAAAAAATAAATAAAACAAAAAGCTCATGAAAAGTACATTATGACATGATGAAATAAATTAGTCAATGAGAAATCATTCACTCAGTTTTGATTTTCTCTTTGCAAGAGGATATGTTTCTTGACTTTGATTTTGAATTGGGTGATATTTGTGCAACTTTTGATATCATCAGGTAATTTATTGAATTTTGAGATAGCTCCGTGAGTGAACTTTTTTTGACCAAGTGTAGAATGAGCAGCATCAAGATGAAACAAGTCATATTGTCTAGTTTGATGTTCATGGATTTGAGAATTCCTTACCAATATGAAGTTAGATTTGAGGTGTTTGTTGATAACATCAAAAGAAATTTTGAGAGTATTTATCAGATAGTGCTCTTCCAAAGAAAATGTGTTTGTTTCTTCATTAAGTTGATTTGATGGGGTGTCATATGGAAGACGATACAGTACTTTTAATGCTTTTTTATATAGTACAGATATTTTGTTGAAATTATTCTTGGAACATGAACCCCAAATATTTATGAGATAGTTCATTTTACTAAGGATGTGAGAGTATAGAACGGTATTTGCTATATTTGGGAGAAGTTTTGGACATCTTCTTAAGTTTTCGATGCTTTTGCGTGATATCTCAGTTATCTTTGGAGATAGAACCTTACGGTTGTCGCGGTCCTTTGCCACTTTTTTGTGAAACTCAAGATGGCCTTATCGGATTATGCATAACTGTTTCCGTTCATGAGATACAAGGCGACTTCGAAAATTTATACTTTTTTGGACCTCTATATCTACGAAGTTTCTCAGCGAAAATGTTAAATCAAATTATTATTCCATAGAGAATTTAACGTAGAATCCAGTGCCGCACTCAAATTTTTTTTCGGAGTATGGCTGTGGAGATACGACTCAAACTTATGATTTGAATTATCAGAGTTTTTCTAGAACAATTGACAAATACAGCCTATAAACACCCCATTTTTATGTGAATTGCAATTTTTACTGATATGTAGTGATTAGTCTTGCGATTCGTACCAAATTCGGACCAGTATGAATAACCATCAATATTATCAGTTTCTCAAAGACGAACATAAATTTGGACGGTGTCGTGCGTTTTATTGAATCAAAAAAGGGTCAATTTTTCATTAAATCATATTAGGAATTTTTTTCAGGAAAACATCTCATAATATTGTTCTCCGTGGTTCAAACCCCCATATGTGAATTTTAATATGATTCCTATGGAGGGTTTCGGAAAAACAGGCACATCTGAAAAAGCAGTTTTGCGAACGTAATAGCTATTTACTCGCGGAAATGGTGAGTTCAACATAAAATAAATAGTATGTTTTTTCTTTCAAATCTCGAATTCCTATCTACCTGAGCTATTGAACGTTCTAAAATTTGCAGTTAATTTGAACTCACTATTTTCCGAGGCTGAAAATGAATAAAAATAAGCCAATCTTGTTAATTTGGAATGAGGTGTTTTTTGGCATTTTTTTCAAAAAAATTGACACCCTTTTGTGTACATATTTTTAGGGCATTAAAATGTAATACATATCGTGATTAATTTGTGGCTATCCTAACAATATTCAAATCAAGAAAAAAAAATTCCAACACCCACCTCCTCTCCCTATTCCCCCAAGGTACGCACGATGTTCTTCAAATATTATAGGAATTTCCTAGAGAAGAAAATGCATTCTGCTCATTAAATCTCCAACCTGTCATCGATTTGCCATTACGGACACCGTTTTGAAATAAATAATTGCTGGTCCATATACCAATTAACTTAATGTTTATTTGTTTTATCCCAAACATAATTATTGAAAAAATTAAATTATGAATAACTAACTAGCCAGCAGAATGCTGTCGAATTTGTTCCGAATTCCAGCACAAGTAATCTCACTATAAATATTGAACTATTTTGGAATAGCAGAATTTCAGCAGTGTCAGTGGCACAACTGACACAGCCGACATTTGATTCCGGAACATAGCTACAGTGAGTTGACTTGACGTGCACCTTTGATCTTCGTGGCAGATGTTTTTTTTTTTTTCAGTGCGCATTGACAAAACAGGAAAACCATCGTTTATTTCATTTTCTGAAAGAAAACAATAGGAAGTGCGAAAATTTGGTACAAACAATAAAACAAATGCACCAATCATAGACTGAACGACGGCATCAATACCAATTCCATCAACAATTATTGCAAACACTGTTTTGGGAGTTTTGGGATACGATGTGAATATGATGCTGATCCTCTTCGTTCATTCGTCAAGCTTTTGATTATGTGGTGCACCGATGGCAAGAATTTACTTACACGTTGTTATATTTATTAGTTTTATGTTAGGATGACTTCCATGAATGTTTTTTTTAGTTTTCATACTTTTAATCAACGTGACCATCTTACAAGTTCTATTGGAGTTATATCTGACATAATATGACTTCCGACATAAGTGTAAATATTGACCACAGAACATAAAGATTACACTACACATAAAGTTGCCTATACAGTGTGTCCCACTTACCATGCTCACCATGGGTATCTTTTTAACGGTGAGAGATACGAGGTCGGTTAAATGACACCAAATGTGGAGTTTGTCAAGGCCAACTATACTGTGAAAAAATATTTTGATAAAATCTATTCGTTTTTGTTTTATACGCAAAAAACAGATTTTGATCATTTTCATGTCTCCTCCGTAACTTCTTTATTTATGAAAATATTCAAATAGGAATTTCACATTCTTATGGCAGTTTTTCAAAGTGATTTCGAAAAAAATATGAAATTTATACCAACTCTTCTAGGATTCGAGATATCAGCAAGGTCATAGCTCACTATGACTTATTTACAAATAACTTTTTTTTCTCTTACAGATGATATGTCGCAGTAATAGTTTTGTGTTGATTACAACGGAGTTATCGTCATTTATACAAAAACAAAAAATTATTTGGAAGCATCCGTTTTGAATTTATAAATTTTAATAAAAGAATCATGATCTCCGACCTCAAAAACCCCCACTTACCAATTTTGAATGGAATCGGACCAAATCTTGTCCGCCATCTTGGAGCAGCCATTTTTTTTATTTCAACAAGAATTCCATTATGTATTGTCACCGAAATTATGAACACCTGCCAGATTTCAAGGTGATCGGAGTCATGGAATTTTTGTTGAAATAAAAAAAAAATGGCTGCACTAAGATGGCGGACAAGATTTGGTCCGATTCGGTTCAAAATTGGTAAGTGGCGGTTTTTGAGGTCGGAGATCATGATTTTTTCGTTGAAATTCATAGATTCAAGATGGCGGCTCCCAAATAATTTTTTGTTTATGTATAAATGACGATAACTCCGTTGTTATCAACACAAAACTATTACTGCGACATATCATCTGTGAGAGAAAAAAATGTTATTTGTAACTAAGTCATAGTGAGCTATTTCCTACATTTGAAAAACTAAAGTTGGTGCTGATATCTCAAATTCTAGAAGAGTTGGTATAAATTTCATATTTTTTTCGAAATTACTTTGATAAACTGCCATGAGAATGTGAAATTCCTATTTGAATATTTTCATAAATAAAGAAGTTACGGAGGAGACATGAAAATGATCAAAATCTGTTTTTTGCGTATAAAACAAAAACGAATATATTTTATCAAAATATTTGTTGACATTATAGTTGGCCTTGACAAACTCCACATTTGGTGTCATTTAACCGACCTCGTATCTCTCACCGTTAAAAAGATACTCATGGTGAGCATGGTAAGTGGGACACACTGTATGTAACAACCGTAAGGGTGATGAGATAGGAAGAGCTAGAAGCCGTCTAACCTGACCCGTTACTATATCCAGATTATTTTGCTATCTGCCACCTAAAAGTAGTCTGAATACACTCTGGATTTTGTGAAATGAGTTCCATCTGTTGAACTTACAAAGTAACCTAACAGTGAAACGGTAAACTCGCTTCGCAGGTCAGCTAGTGTCCTCCGGCGTGAAGGGCGTCTCCCAGCAGGCGATCCGGACCGCCCTGACTCCCCAGGCGGTGTCGCTGACTCAGGGCGGGCAGCAGCTGCAGCTCATCACGCCCTTGCAGCGGCCCAGGGTGCAACAGGTGCAGCAGCCGACCAGCGCGCAAACTCTGACGTCCCGCACGCTCCAAGCCACGCCTATCACCATCAAGATGGCCGCCCCGAACGCAAGTCAGTTGATTGATTTGCCGTTAAATTTCGATAATTAACGTTCGCTCTTTCCTCAAAAGTTCTAAGAGATTTCCATTGCATGCCACTTTGAAAGCTAGTCAACTCATTTCAGAAGCTATTCATCTAAAGTTTTTTTTTTTTCGTTGCTTTTTGCTAGATGCTTCTCAAGTAAATTTACCGTCAAGTTCGGCTATCGCAAGTCAACTGCAGAAACAAGCTCAGCTACAGCAGTTCCAGCAGATCTGCTTGAATCATCCCAGCGTGTTGGGAAACATCCGGAGAAGATCCAACACGTCGGACCCACAGTAACGATGACTTTCTTTGTGTAGCTTCCTTTTCGTAAGTTATTATGTATGCTAGTCTTTTTTTTATATTTCTTAGTGTCCCTGCTGGAAATACTTCAAGAGATCTTGAAGGATTCATTATGTTACATTCCGAATAAGGAGATTGTAGGTGGCGCAACCTCTGAAGGAAAGTTCATGCTGCAGAAATAATTAGATGTTCAACTTTGGATTCGTCTTTATTGTATCATTAAATGATACAAAAAGTAAATGATATGTGATAATGAACCAATCAATGCAAAGGTTAGCGATAAAATGGACTGCTAATGGTTAGAATGTACGGAAATTACGCCAAGATTGAATGAATCCATATTTTCATCGTGGCACCGTGTATGCCTGCTGTACCTGACGTGAGCATGATCCTGATTTTTTGTGAATTCTGTATACCGGGTGTCCCAGAGCTATTAGGCCAGTAGATATCTGGGTTATATAACATAAAAGAATTCAAGAAATCGTGGAATTTATGGGAGCAAATGCTCTTCAAAATGGTGAGATCAAATCACTCTTGTATCAAAGAATCTACTAGAAACCACCCCTTACGTTGGTTTTTCAAATTGCACCCCCATGTTTTTTTCGCTTCATCTTATGGAACTTCTCATTCTCAATTCGACTATACATCACGATTGATATAGCGTTATTCGCGGGAATCAATTTAACCAGGTGGCGCTTCATCGTTCCATGTCAAAGCCACATCAAAACTGGGGGAAAACAAACTTAATCCTCACTCAATCTCATTAGTGCCATTAGCTTGTGCACTGTGTACTGATAAGAGTCCTTGACAAGTTTGACAACTACAGCTACAGCAAGATGTATGCAATGTTGTCTATGCACTTTATCCATAGACAACAGTTTGTTTTCCCCCAGTTTGAAGTTCGTATTATGTAACCTAGATGTCGCCCACTTCGTGAATCTCGCGAATAGTCAAAATTATGAGGAACTTAATGATTGTGAAGGTTTGTTATACTGTTACAGCCATTTATTCCTTGAAAAATATAAAGTAAAAAGTACCAAAATATAATACCGTCATTTCAGACAATCATTCAAGGAAAAATCTATATTTTTTCATAAAAATTATTGAAATAATTCGCTAGTCCGATATATCACTGAATTGAGAATGAAAAGTTCTATAAAATTAATGGACAAAAACATGGGGGTGCTATTTGAAAAACTAAAGTTAGGAGTGGTTTCTTGGAGATTGTTTGATATGAGGGTGTTTCGATTTAATTGTCTTGCAGAGCTTTTGCATATATTTTTCAAATTTTTTTTGTATCTTAGATTACACAGATATGTGTTGGATGGAATTCTTTATTACTTCGGCTTGCAGCCATCTGATTTTCTCTTGAGTAATGCTGTATTAGACAGAGTTGCCACTGCTTGAAATTTTACATTTCATGGGAGCTGACATTTATTGTGAAATGACACAATGTCATTGTGTTATCAGATATAATAATAAAATTGGAGACATACAATGTACCTCATTGACTTATCGAAAATAGTGAAATTTTTTAAATAGCCATACAAAAACATAACATAATTAGCGACTGTTGGTACCAAATAGAATTCCGTCTCATAGGGGTAACCAAAATGGCTTTCAGTTCCACTTGTCTTGGCCAACAACAACAATACGAATAAAAACTATTCAGCATGTGTTTTAAATACCATTCAATGATAATGAATGGTTATTTTGTTTTGAGTTCAAGCAATACGGAGGCAACAATAAATTATCACTGCTTGTCAAATAAAGGGTAACTTTTTTATCCCAATGAGACAATGTACTAATACAGAGAAACGAAAATCATTTCATCTGAATGAAAAATGTATTCATTGTGAAAAGCGAATGAACTTTCTAAGATTAGAATGATCTTCGAGAAATGGAAAGCACTTGAAGACCTGATGCACCTTTGTTTTGAAATAATTCAGAATAAAGTAAGTATTTAAGGGATAATCTCTGGGTTTCTTTACCTAGAGAAACCAAGAACAAAGTCCAATACTTTCCTTCTCTCCCTATCCTCCCTAGGTACGCACGATGTTACGTTAACATAATAGGGATTTCTTTTCGTGCGATCTGAAATATTGAAAAAAAGACTGTTTGAGTCTAAGTCCTCACATTCTTCATTCTGGTCTTAAAGAAAATTTGAATAACATTTTGAGAAACTTCTTTATCTATTTAGAATCTTGAAATTCATCTCATTAGTTGATATTGTCTTCTGTGAACGACAATTCGCCAAATATATTCTATTGAGATATTTCCAGTAAGGATAATTGAAACATGTACTTCATTAACAGGAAACTGCCGTCTGTTGTGGTGTTTGAACTATTTTTTTTTTCAACAAATTTCTATGCACGATACGCCTCATAACCCGTCGTTTTTCATGATATTGTTTCAGGCTATTCGAAAAATTTTAAATTTTGATTTGTTTCCTGTAAAAATACATCACATGTGTGAACATCACAATCATATGATGAATATGGATTTAAACAAATAGCTCGCTTCTTCTTGAGATACAAATTGTTTGCTCAGTAATTAATTTTGTCATGTTATTTCAAGCTCTTCCAAGTTCTGCTACCAAGGTGGTAGCCCATATTTGTTTTATGTGTTCTGATGAACTATGATCGTTATTGTTTGCAAGTTTGAGCACCTGGGATTATTAACTAATTTATATAATGTGAAATTGAGGCAATAAAAAAATGGGGGGCAAGAAAAAAATATTTGCAACCATTCCAAAAACAGTATTCTCTCACCATACTACATCTTTCACTATATTATTATATCATCTTCTATTACCGAGTGCACACTCTGTAGGCATTTCCCTAACGTATGAGTTCAATAATTACACACGACCCACAACGCTACTTTTTCAAGTTGATGAGGGAAGATTTTGTGTTTTGCTATTTTTTACAGTGTAATCGGAAAAGTCTCGAAGAAATGTGACAAAAAAACAGGGTCGCTCATAACCAAATGAACCGCGAGTGAGAAAAATATCATGTAATTGTGAATACTAATCATCAGAAACATTCTATTGAGTTCTGAACTACAGTTTCAATTCTGAGAACCGACTAGGGAAAGTGTGAAAATCGGTCATATTTGATTGGATCATCCGATATATTTCTTGATAAAATTTGGTACTAATTCCTTCGAGAATTTCTTGGAATTTATAATCAGACTCGTTTTTGAACCCGTCACAATTGTATTACTATTGAAATTTTGTTTATAATGCATACATTACTAGATCATTAACATCACTCAACTTGAGACTTGGAATCAATTACTTTTTACTGATTAAAATTCTTTAATTTGGGTTGCCTCCCGCCTAGCAAACATGTAATAGTCGAGAAACTTATAAATTTAAAAAAACTATAGATAATGAAATGCCAAGACACCTTCTGGGATCCGAATGAACGCCTGTGAGATTGTTGAATTGCAGCTCGAGCCCTCTCGATGTTTAAAAGGAGGAAGGAAAGCTCAAAGTCTCTCTCTCTCTCTCGATGTTTTTTGGGGTAATGATAGTATTCTGATGAACCTTTCTTATCGTGGACATATTTTTAATACCGATTCCGGAAGGTATGCTGCATACGGATGATCGACAAATAGGTTGGCAAACAGAAAACACGTTCTTGAACAGATCATGTTCAGAAGTTGTTGATGATAACTAGTATTCACTGAAATAATCAGAATTTCAGTAAATCTGTATTTGGTCAGGGAAAGCCTGGAAAAGTTGGAGTATTTTAAATCAACCAGGTATAGTGGCAATCATTTCGCTTGATTATTTGTGATATTCTCCTCGTTTTTATGAAATAAAATTATGAGTGTTGTTTCAATATACGTGTAGTAGGATGAGTTAGATGAATGAATACTCATATTTTTCTTTATAAAAACCAGGAGAGGTCATTCCAAATATTCGAGCAAAATGAATGTCCTCAATTAACCTACAGAAAGTAGTACATTTCAAATTCTTCCATATTAATGAATCCCTGTTGATCAAACTTGAAACAATAATGTTCAATAGCAGCAATATCAGCAGTTAGCAATAATAAAATTCCTATTGTTTTGTTGAAATTGAATAGAGGTTTTTATGGTAATTTGACTTCGGTTCCATCCAATTTCTCAGTATTTTTCTAACAATCAATGATAAGCTCACTGATTCAAATACGACTATGAAGAACCGTGGAATTGTATATAGAAATTTGTTACTTTCTGTGCTGTGTCGTTTTTAAAACGAATCTCAAAATTTTCGAACTTCTTTTGATCAGAAGCAATTGACAAGAATATAATACTGTTCTTTCTTTAAACTTGCGTGAGTCTACAATAGATTGCAATAATTACGTCAAGCTTCTAGCTATACAGATTGTTTACTCAGTTGTTACACATAGGGCATGTGAATGGCAACATAGCAAGAGGGACTGATTCGGCTATCGTACGTCTGGCAACGTCTGGCCATCACAGTGAACCATTCAAATGCGAAATGCCATCCTTTCTTAATACATATATGTACTTATGTATATACAGTGTGTCTCACTTCGTTGGGCAAGGATCCTGAAATTTGCTGGAGCGAGAGATATATCAAAAATGCACTCTATGATATTAGGAGACAAAATAGGTTGAAAATCACTTCGGATTCGGGATCAGGACGCCCAATTCAATGACTATTCATACTTTTCTGGAATGAATTTCAGTCCTGAAAATTTCGAATCCGAAGTGATTTTCAACCTATCTTGTCTCTTGATATTATTTTTCGGCCATGTGTGCAGTTCCACTGCTGTTGGCGAACAGTGTTTATCACTGAAGATTACCTCACTTGGTCATAGAGTGCATTTTCGGTGTATCTCTCGTGTATCTCATTAGAAGTGAGACACACTGTATATGTAACGATTTGATGAATAATCTGTATAGGTTGGTTCCACATGGGTGGGACGAATCCTTAGCTTGTGATGACGAACATTTTGACATTCCTTTTCCTAATTCGACACTAGAGATATCTGATCTCAAATAACTGCGTTACATTGCACAATTACTGTTGTTCCTACTATTTAAAGATGCATTGGTGCCAAATGGTCCTGTTTGATGTTTTCCATGATCTTGTATTCGATATATGCAGTAAGGGCTTCGCTAGGTACCTTTTTCAAGGCCTCTTTCTTTCAGAACAGTACAAATTAATTTTATTGTCTTATATCCATGATCCGATGAACAATTGTTTGTGTTGAAAGCGGCGCAGTTTTTATTCTAAAATATTAGTATAATATATTTTTGTTATGTTATTATGTTGTACATATTAGAAAAACGGTGACATTTCATTATTAATGACATACAGGGTTTCCCACGATGATTTAGCCACGTGATATTTCATAAAACTATGATATTGACATATTTCAATCTGAACTAACTGAAATATTTTACTAGAACTGAACTAATAAGTTAACATGCGTTCTTTGAAAATACTTTAATCCTCCATAGAGTGTATATTAACTGATCTTGTAGCAACAAAATATTTAAGATCAGTAGGTACTATTGAATTTTGTGCATGGCCTTACACTTTTTTTTCTGATTGAATCATAGTTCTGTTGATATTCATATTGACAATGACAAGAATAGCATGAATCTCCACATGGTATATCAATATTTTTTTCATGATTGGAGAACAATTATTTCATTTCAATAATGAGACCAAACTGACGACACTGAGAAAAATATAGAACATTATTCTCTTGATCTTTTTACTCGATTGGCAGATTTCAGTAGAAGGACTGCCTAATTCGAAATTTTCAAGATATGGTGTGAATATTGAGAATTTTTGGTATATGTGATTTGCATCGAATATACTAAAAACATTAAAACATCTCCAAGACTTTGAAGTTTGGAGATATCGTCTATTTTGAGTAATACTTCTAATCATGGAAAAAATAGTCCTTATTTTCGGAAATGATATTCCAATTCAGTAGAAAACAGGCGAATTTTATTCATTTAATTCAAATAATGGTGTTTTCAAAAGATTTTGAGAGATCACCAAAATGGGTCAAATTTCTCAAAGCTGTATTGGAACATGACAATATTCTAAAACCAAAATTCAGGATATCACCTAAAATGTATTATTAATTCTATTTTCCACGATCGCTCACCTGGCAAAAATATGAAAATTAACTAATTAGCGACGGGTGATTTTATCTGATTCGGTTTGTTTGAGAGCGTGTTCGTTAGATTGAATCTTTTTAGTGATAAAAATTGAGAAATCTTCTGATGTAATTTCAAGAATGAGAGAGATGTGATGTGTGTTGCATACATTTGCGATAATCACAAACGAGTTTTGGTTGTGACGGGTTTTTTCGGGGAAGACCAGATTAATCATTTTAACACCGGATGATTGACAAGTGAGTACTGAAATATCATATTTTGCCATGTGACAAAAATAATCAGTTAATTTTATTTCTAAATCATGAGTCTGAATTTGATGTTTTCTTTGAATTGTAGGTTCCATGCTTGTAGTATGCTACTGTATCTCTCATTCAATGAGATATGCAATTTGATAGCCTGTCTGCTACATACTTGATTTAAACTACTAGTTTGGACTTGCATTCTAAACTGTTGTCATCTGTTTGCCATCAATAAAAATTCTTGGTGGTGTTTGACGATTGATACCAAGAATATCATAGCGTTTAATTTGAGCCTCATCATGTATTGTGTTGATATAGAAATTTGTAATCAAAATTGTAATTGAAAGAATGTTATGCTATAAAATTGTTCATGAAACTACAATACATATATTTGGTCGTCAAAATCAGCTTGAAAAGGTTCCAAAAAATCTATTTCAATTTATTTATAATATAATTTAGGTGGTGCATCAGTTTTGCTGTGTTATTAATAGTGAAATGTCAATCATAGCTCAATAGAATTCGATGATTCACTTTGTCGAAAAGTTTAAAGAATTTCCCTACTGTAATTTTTTTTTTATAAAGATATTCGAAATTTTCGAAACCAGTTGGAGGTACTTGTTTCTAATATCCTCATAGTATAATAATGCCAAACTGAAGAAACAAAACGAAAGAGATAATGTAAAATATAATTTATTTTAACATTGAGTTTTCAAGCCACAACTAAGGAAGTATATGAAATAAGTATATCAGACTATATATATTTGAACTCAGGGAGTAAAATGGCATCTAAATTCCTTAGAATATTGAGTGTCCTAATAAGAAATCTATAATTTTCAAAGTTTCTCTTTTATTTCTTTCTTTTAGTTTTTCATTAGTACAGTCTTGAGGATAATCGAGAAAAGTTTCACCAACTAGCTTTCGAAATTTTCAAATGTCCTTCAAAGAGAGAAAAATAAGTTGAATGCCGCAACGTCGCATTTCCACATCCCTCATCATATAAGCTTTTCACGGTGGTCCAAAACACCGTGACTACCGAATGTGAAAACTTCACAAACGATAAGATATATAAACTAGACTTGGCTTGCCTAACTTTTATACATCCTACTCCTAATCTGAAGGATTATTAATATGTATTTGCTATCAACCCTTTCAAGTTAATCCGGTATTGTAATGTAGATATTGTGCCTATTTTCCAAAAATGGGGGTTTATCTAGCCTTTCCACGGGTAATTCAAATCCTTCAGGTTGGGAAAGTAGGACATATAAAAGTTAGGCAAGCCAAGGTTAGTTTATTTCATTGTACCAGTATATCACCTGATGAAGCTAATGTGTTAGCCAAATATGGATTAAGAATTTTGTAGATATCTAATCGTTTGTGAAGTTTTTACATTTGCTGTGGGTTTCCATCAAGTAACGGCCGAGTCAATTAAAAAAAAAACGTGTCTACCATTTTTTTCAGATAAATCACCCTGTTTCATTTTTTTTTCTCCAAATCTGTGAGCTATTGTGATCGCAAAAATATATTCATGCACTATATTTTCTTTATCTTTTTCTATTCTATTTCAACTTTTGTCAGTTGACCTTGTTGCGGCATTCAATTTTTGCATATTGTTTTTTTCCTCGGTCAAAAATAACGTTTATATTTTGTATTTGGCTTGTAGAAATTGTCGAACGATTTTCTTTGAAATTTCAATGGTACATATAACAAATCGACGGGTCTCTCTATACAGGGTGTTGTGATTATCGATCAACAACGCTTTACAAGTGATGGACGCTTTACAGGTGATGTATTGCATTTGCATGCCTAGTCATTTTAATTAGCTGTTCTTCCAGGATACCTGACTGGGCAAGATTTGATACAGCACTTGATCAATTTGAATGATTCGTGATCTTGTTTGTAACAGTATCAAGCCCTATTCTTTACGCAGATTGTCTGGGCCATTTTCCAATCTCATTCACCCCTATTGGCATATTTTTGTACCATCCAGAATCGGTTTCATTCCAGTAAGGATCTAAATTTCTAAATGAATTAGTTTTTTTCTGTGACGGGAAAAAAGTTTAGCATTTCATCTCTGTTGGCAGATATATATTACATATATACACCGTTGATGACTTTTATTGTGCTATAGTTCCGAAAAAGTCAATAATACCGTCTCCGAAAAAGAACTGCAAGTCCTTTCATTTTCCATTCGACTTCGCGGTTACGTAAACAACTACTAAACTCGCAATTATTTGAAATCAAATCACAGAATTAGACTGACAGAAGTGGCATCAGATATTTGATTACTTCAAAAGAATGATAAAGATGCCTACAACGCAGGTGTCCCTACTGTTAAAAACTCAAAATTTCACGTCGATAATTTCCAGATTTCAAAATAATGTTATATCTTCTCAATATTGATTCGTCTTTTCTTCTGTCACAGAAAAACATAGTGTATTATACACGGGAAAAATATTAAATTTTAGCTCACGGTAGTTTGTCTCCCTCCGCTACGCATCGGAAGACAACACAACCTGGAGCTAAAATCTACTACTCTTTTCCCTTGTATAATAAATAAATATTATTTACAACCATATATGGTTGTCATTACTAACGTCTTCCCGCCCTCATTTCCCGCCCCTCACTACTTTCCGCCCTCACGTAAGTAATATTTTTGGTAGATTCAGAACGAAACAGAGATTTATTAATTTCGATCGAAATATGATGGTTGTGAATAAAATAGTATACAAACCTTCGTAGGAAGTTTCATTCCTGTCTCAAGATCATAGCTAACCTCGACGCTCTGCTTCTCGGTTAACTAACTGATTCCACGACAGGAATGAATCACTTCCCACCTCGGTGTTTAATATACTATTTCAAATAACCTCACCGGGCACACTCGAACATTGTTGTGATTAGGCACTAGCCACTTACTGTCTGACAATTTTTGAGCGCCGACCTGGCATGTTTTGGAAAAAATCAGGTTGTATTCAATTCTTCCGGTTAGGTTGCAATTCGATTACTTTTCCTCTTTTATAAAAGTGCACCTTGCATCTTGTTGTTTCGCCTCCTCTCCAGGATGTTCGAGCGACATTATAATAATATGACAAAGCTTTTTTTGAAGTACTTCTGGACAATCTTCGTTCCACAAATTCTTATATATTTCTTCTTTACTCAGAGCAGTTGAACTTCGCATCCTTTTGTCGGGAATCGACTGAAGCTGCTTTCGTTTTGCATTTTTTGCATCCCTTTCTTCTTTGAATTCAATGTCTGTA